TACTTTACCCTCGTTTTTCATGATATTATTATTATTATGTTTTGATTGTTTTGTATAGTCATGTTTGTGTAGTCCTGAGGCGGAGAGAGGGCAGTGGTTTTTAGTTGATCTGAATGAGTCCGATCATAGGTAGAGTCAACTGCTTCATAACCAGTATCATTTCATAAACTAAGTTTATTCATCAGCTATTATGGATAAAATAATTTGTTATTCTTATTTTCCTGAATTTATTTTTCATAAATTTTTTTATCTGCCTTTTTTCCTAGTGGATAAAAAGCTATTCTCAGATTTTTATGCATAATACAATTTAGTAGAAGAAAACAAATTGGATTTTGTAAAATGTAAAACAAACAAGCAAACAAAGCCCACAGAAGGTTGAAAGTTTTTGTTCCAGTCATATTGCAGAATCCAAAATACATTATTCAAGTCTAAAAATTTGAAGTGATAATTACAGTTTATCAGAACATTGTTTTCAAATTATATTTAAGACTGCTCCTAGAAGATCAAAATGCCCTGCTCTGGGAAAAATTGCCTGTGTTACAGTGGGCTGTGCTGCCTGTGATTTGGTCCTACAGTTGCAGCAAAATGGGCATTTCTTCATATGTGAAAGTTTTCTTGCACATTCCCAGTTAGCTCCCAGCCATGCAAACCTGGATGATTGCACTGGGTGCTCGGAACTGTGCAGATCTGTCCTTATTGCATAATACTTCCTACTATGATATCTGCCCATGTTTTGTTTTGTTTTCATTTGAATTTAGAGAAAGAAACCCTTTATTTTATGCGCGAAAAGAAGACCCCAAAAAGTCAAGAAGTGGATTTGGTCCTGGTTAGGAATTGCAAGTGGTATCACAGCCTCAAACACCCACCTGACTGCCAATTTAAAAACAGGGAAAATAAAGAGAGAGGGAGAGTAGGGGAGAGGAGAGGAAGCACAAAGCCAACTGTTCTACAACATCACAAGGAACTCATTTTTTTCATTGTGCATTTTTAGTTTATATGGTTTGGGTTTTATTTCATAGAATCATTGAATCATAGAATGGTTTGGGTTGGAAGGGTCCTTAAAGCCCCCTCAGCCCCAACTCCACTGTTGTGGGCAGGGCTGTACCCCAGCAGCCCAGTGCCACATCCAAGCTGGCCTTGAGCACCTCCGGGAATGAGGAGCTTCTCTGGGCACTTTGTGCCAGTGCCTCATTGCCCTCTAGGTAAAGAATTCCTGCCTAACATCTAATCTGACTCCTGGCTTTTAATTTAAAACCATTCTCCCTTGTCTTATCAATATCTGCTTCTGTAAAAAGTCAGTCTACCTCCTTTATAGTCTGTTCAGTTTCTTGTTCTCATGCCCTAACAGGCTTTGGTTTTAGCCACCACGTGACATTGCTTAAATCAGCAATAGGTATAAGTCCCAAATGAGCAGTAAGCCAGGCTTGTTCAAAACTCATGGGAGGAAACTGCATTCACAATTGTTAGCATAGACAGGTATATGAATATGGACCGGTGCAAAATTAAAATTCACCTTAGATTAGCTGGTTTTTGCTGTCCTTTTGGTTTGATGTGTTTCTTGGTTGTGGTTGTTTGTTGTTTTTTTTTTTGCTTGTCTTGTTTATATATTATTATCAAGTTAGAGAGTTGTTTGTTTATGTTGATTGCAAACATGTTATTCATGCCTCTGTTCCCAAGTATCCAGCCTTCGGGTTTAGATGAGTAAAGTGGTTTGGGCAGAATCCAGATCAGTTCATGCAGAGGCTATGCAGAGAGTAGAAAAGTACATAGTAGATCTAAGCATGAATTTTGTAAGCACTTTTACTCTAAAAAAAGAGTGTGTATATATATGTGCATGTGTGTATGCATATATCCTGTGACACCAATCTAAAATTTTCATCAGTTTGTTGTCTTACCTAAAACATATGTCACTATGTATATTTTGTAAAAAAAATGCAAGGTTTCCCTGTCCTTTAAGGAAACTCAGTTTACGTTCTGAGTAAGGGTTTAAAAATCACTTGCAGTCATCTATTTACTGTTTTATTTTAAATCCAGCATGTTAAAATGTTTCATGCATTCATTCAAACTGCTTTGAGAAAATAATAGTTCAAGTATCTGTAATTTTATCAAATCAGAGTATTTGATAATAAGAATTCATTCTGAAATTGAGCAGGGTGGAAAGCCACGTAACCTTTATGTGAGGTACCAATTGAAAGCGTCTAATCTGCAGGTGCCAAAAATACAAGAAGGTACTATCACAATGCTGTATGAAGAGCTCAGAGGTTTCCACGTGAGGTGGTATTACCCATACTGTATCTAGTGGTGTCAAGTGCAAACTTGCAAAGAGGAAATCACTTACATTTCCCATTGTCCTCCTGGTGGGGATGTAGGCTGTGGAGATGTGGGCCAAACATGACCTGTGAGGTGCTGGCACAGTTGAGGGGCAGGATGAGATCCAGAGTGATGCATTTGAGGGACCAGACTCTCAAAGAACTCAGTGAAGTCCTGCCCTACAGTCGGGCAGGAATATGATAGACCCCAGACTGACAGCCTCCATGCGTATCAGAGGCCGTATGGTAGACATACACCATTGAGAAGAGCTCTCCCTCACTCCGCTTGGTGCTAATCACGGAGAACAATGCTGGCTGCTTTGCAAAATATTAGTACTGCTGTACAAAATCTGGGCGCCTGCTTATGGCCTGCTGAGTCAGACTTGTTTATTTTGTTGAAGTATTAATCTCTGTCTCTAATCGGCAGTCAACAACTCTAGGCTCCAGGCTTAATAGAATTTCAAACTGTAGATTATGCAGTTTTGCTGAAAGTATGAGGCTTCTATCGTGCTTTGAATTAAATATTCTCCCTCACTCCCCTTTGGTCTGTTTTCCATGGCAGAGGCAAAGATAGATAATTAATTCCTCCCATCCAAAGCCTTGTCTTTTAATTTAAGAATTTTTTTTAGCATTGGCTCAAATCTTCAGTTTGGAACACCGAGAGGTTAAGCAATGAAGACAGCCACTAAATAAACTTCAGCAATTTTTTTTTTTTTTTTTCCAGTAAGATGAAATAGCACGCAGTGTATCAAATACTTTCTTTGTCGTGATACCAGATGAAATAAACCAGAAGTGTGGGGAAAAGAGGCTGATCATGACAGTGTGATGAGCATGGAGTGCCATCTTCTGATCCTGTGGCTTGGCTTTGCATGAGAAAGTCATGGGACGCGAGGAGAGAAGCAGTGGAGGGAAACAGCTATTGCTGGGACCTGATGCCCATGCTGTGCCATTGGGAAAGCGGAAGGGAGATGCTGAGCTCTACTTAGCTAAAATAGCACTTTCTTCAGGTACTTGTAAAGCCCTTTGTGAGAGTGAAGCAGCGTCAAGCTCTGTTTTGCTGTTCTTTGGTGTATTTTGAAGTTTAAATGATGTCACTGGTGAGTCATTCCTGGCTCTCCTGCTAAGCAGTCTGCCCAGTTCTCCATGCTGCGTACCTGACGCTCCAGGAAAGCCATATGCTCTTTTCACAGACATTACTTCCTCTTTTGGAATTTAGATTTTATATAAATGTACACACACACACAAAAAAAAGTACAGGATCTTCTGGAGTTATGTCTCAGGCAAACTGCTTATACACCTACTGAAAGTCCAAAACAGTAGGATTTAGTTTATATTTCAGAAGAATGGCAAAAGAAGAAATGTTCAGTCTTGGAGTGTCTTGAATCAGCAATTCCACTTAGAATTTATGATGACAGTGCACCAATAATTGTGGCTGAAATGTCACTGCAGTATTCAAAGTTCAGAACTGACAAAAGATGTGCCTGCTGCATTTCTGTTCTGCTTCTGCACACATCCAGTCTCTCTCCCAGCACACTCAAAAGAACCTCAGTCTTTTGCAATTGTATCATATAGTTGTCATTTCACAGATATGAGACATATTGTGCTTTTGGTAGTAGATTGTTTCTTTTAGCAGCAATGTATTGCTCTCTTGGGTTTCAGGACAGATGGTAATCAGAGCCACTGAATGTTGGGAAATCCTGAGGAAGTTCAAAAATGCATTCACAGATCAATCCTCTTGTGCATACACTGGAAGCCCAGTGCTCCAGCTGTGTTAGATTCCCTGTGCACCTGACTGTGTACAAAGGGGATTTGCCTAGGCCACAGTTATTCTGAAATGCACAATATACAGAACAGTATCTACATATACTGAGAAAGGTGTACAGGATTTGCCAGTGATACAGACTGCTTTTTTGGTGTTATTTCTGCTTATGCATCACTTCAGTTAACAATTCTTTTTAAAGAATTGTAAATTGTAAAATAGAGATACATTTCAAACCTAAGGGAAAGCAAGGACTGCTTGAACTGGTCATGCAAAACTGTAATCATTCTCATTGCATCTTTTTGAATAAAATAAGCATTGAGAAATCCACTTTTTTTTTTTTTTTTTTTTTGTTGTTGTTTGTTTGTTTGTTTGTTTAGCTGTAGAGTTACTTGAAATTGGAAGTTTTTACTACTGCACCAGAATGCTGTATTTTAACATCATGGTGATATTTTTTAAATTTCAGTATATACTTGGGATTTGATCCTTTCATCTAAGCATAAGTACTGAACATAAATTAGTTGTCCTAGATCCCTCTGTGGACAGAAGAAAGGCATCTCGCAAGAGGGACTCTTCCCATCCTAAGTTATGCAATGAAATTTATCTGTGCAAATAGCCCATAGCCATTGATTGTGTCTCCATAGGGAAGGCTGAACAATTCATTCAAATGGATTAAGTAAACTGCAGATGCCAAAAGCCAGGAAATTAGATATAATGAAGTTCTGAACTCTTTGCATACTCTGAGCATTATGCCTGATGCTCAATCTACTCAGCATGATTCTCCTTACTTAAATAATTATTTCATGTTACTATTTTTCCATTCTCTTGCTAACTGCTTTAACAGAAGTTGCTGAGAAAGTTCATCATTGGAGATACTGCTCCAGGTGGTTGCAAACTTCTGTTCTAACCTGTGCTATTTTTGTCTTCTTCAGTCTTCTGGTACCAGTATCACAGTGGATATTGCAGTCATGGGCGAAGCGCATGGGCTCATTACAGATCTTCTGGCAGATCCTTCGCTGCCTCCCAACGTGTGTACTTCGCTGAGAACAGTGAGCAACCTGCTTAATACACAGTTAACCTTCCAGGCCATCCACAAGCCAAGGGTGAACCCTTTGGTATCCTTCAGTGAGAATTACACATGCTCTGACTCGGAGGAATGTCCAGAGAAAGGAGAAAAACTAGCAATTCCCAAGGTGAGTATTGGACAGTAACTCCATCTGCCATCTTATGACTTGGCTCTCCTTTAAGGGACAGCGCTATGCTAGTGGCAGATCTCTTCGGGCTTTTCCTTGTTCGATTCAGGTTACCATTTTATGTATTAATCATAGTTTTCTATAAAAAGAAAATTAAATAGACTACTTATTTCATAGTAAAACAACCCCTGCATATCCTACAACTCATGGCCAGCTAAACTTTTGTTCAGGCACCTTTAAAAGATGATGTTGGACACAAAAAATTCACACAGATGATGCTCATGTTTCCCTGTGGGTGCTCATTGGAGCTTAAGAGAGAAGAAATTATCAGGAACAGGGCAAGCAAAAGCCTTTCAGCATCCAGACTCACAAGTCTGACTCATTAGTTCTCACGAAGAGTTTACCCTCCCACTCCAAAGATTTTTGACACTGCATGTGGGGTGACCAGAAGAATATATTACTGCCTTGACAGATGGCTTTATGAATGCTTGGGAATTCAACAGGGATATAATGATTGTTAACTGTCGATGTTTAGGAAGTTAGCAGCTAGAAAGAACAGATCAGCTTTGAAAAAGTATGAATTGTATGCTCATTGCTGATGAGCTGTCCTGCAAGGTCTGCATTTCACTTTCAAAGCCAAACCAAAATACTTTTGCCATGCAATCTCACTTGTAAAATTAAATATAGACAGCGTATATTGCCTAGTGAATGCTTTTAACTTTCAACAGTTGAAATGACACAGCCAGCATTCATTCTAGAATTTTCTGGCATCTGAACTGCAACACTTGTGATTCTTTTTAATTTATTTTAGTATTATGATAATTATTACCCTGCTTGCCAGTGTAACAGCTACATATATGGAATGGGTGTTTGAAGGTCTTGAAACACGAGTTCTAGTTAAGTTTAGTGCATGTGTGTGCAGTGGCTGTACTCTAGGTTCTTGGAGGAAAGATTATGTGGAAGAACACTGCCATCACATGAGCAGACACAATGAACCGATTACAGTTTGTAGTTGCACAGTACCTAGTGAGGAGCAGAGAAAGGAAGGATGAAGAAATAAGTTAATATTACAGAGGAGTAATTTGACTGAAGAAATCACTGACCTGAATGCATTATGGTTCATATCATTAATAGTTTGCAGTCATTTATTTATGTGTCTAAATATGGATTTAGAGTCGTTACCTTAAGCATCTGACACAGAGTATTTGGGGTAAGAAATTAACTTGCTAACATATTTATCTGTGTGCTTGAGCTTCATACCTAAGAGTATCTTCCATCTTAACTTTCTCAACCCTCTCACAGAGACATTTTTATTTTAGTTCTCAATTATAAAAACTACAATATAATTACCAGAGAAGCATTTTACAAAACCATGGTACAAAGGCTCTCTGTCATCATTTCTTATTAGCAGTGACTGCGTTCCAAAACTTTGGAAAAATAAACTATATCATATTAGAGAAAAGGAAGAGTAAGATGAAAGACAAATGCAGGGTGGTCAAGAAAAATCTTATGTAAAGGATGATGCTCTCTCTGAGCTTTTCAGAAGCTTTTTCAGAAGCTTGAAGTTGAGTCTTGAAGATCTCCATACTTGCAGACTCTACAACTTCTCTGGGAACCATTTTCAGTATTTGATCACCCTCACTGTATTTATTTGTTTGTTTATTTTACATTTGAATGGAATTTCCTGTATTTCCATTAGTGCCCACTGTCTCTTGTCACTGGATCACAAAGCAGATCCATCATCCTCCCTCTTTTTGCATTCACATATTTATTCACGTTGATAGGATCTCCCTTTGAGACTTCTCCAGACTGAACAATCGTGGTTCTCTCAGCCTGTTGTTTTATGGCAAGTATACTCCAATCCCTCAATCATTTTTGTAGCCCTGATGACTTGTTTAAGTGCTTTTGGCCGCATCATATAAGATTAACGTTTCCAAAGAACACCATTAATGTTCTCTGTCTCCATTGAACTCCAAATATTGGACACTAATGGCTATGGAGTTGTGTATATATAGCTTTCCTTGAACTTAAAATAGGGAGGAAATCCTGTACCTTCCAAGCACTTAGAGCACCAGCCTTTGCTGAATTCAGTGGAAGACAGACACCATATTATTTGGATGAATCCAGAACAAAGGTACCTTACCAGATACTGCCAGGTATATTAATCAAATGCTGTAAAATGTTTTTCTTCTGCACGTTTAAAGTTTTCAGAAGCTTATAAACCTATATAGACTCTAAGCAAGTGATTTTTCTCTAGCGCTTACGAAGAAGTTTGCCTCCAGGACTGCTGAGACGAGTGTCCTCCACTTGGACCACAACAACATCTGCCACAGGTTTACCCACACTGGAGCCAGCCCCAGTGAGAAGAGATCGCAGTGCCAGCATCAAACCTCACGAATCATCTTCATCCAGGTTACATACTACTTCATCTCTCTTTTATGCCCATCTTTGACAACATTTCTTTGGTTCTGTGTGGTGATGTGCATCATTTAAAACTTATAACTCCGAACTATGTTTAAACAATTTCTACACATCTCAATAAGTCAGGTTACCAAGGAAGTGTCATTCCCAATTTTAGTCAGATCATGCTGTAACTATTACTATTACCAGAAAGCAAAATGAAAACAACAACAGCAACAAAAACCAAACTGTTTATTCTAGCAAAGTAAAGGTTTCAGAAAAGTCGAGTGTTTCTTCTGCATTTAAAAATCTGTTGGTAATAGTGGAGAAGAAGATAGGACCTGAGAAGGCCCAGCATCCACAGATGGATAATTTGGTTGAATATAACCCCAGAGCACTACTTTCATCAGCCTCTCTATCATACAGGGAGCCTAGGTGCTCAAGGCAGCTTGCAGAGTACACTGAATGTCTTGTGCAAGAAAAATACATGGCTAGCCAAACTTCCCTTTATAAGGAGTCCCATGTATCTCAGTAAAAGTAAATACAAAGAAGCTATAATCAAATGGAAATATTATTCCAGTCATCAGTCTGTGGTTTGCAGGGTGCATTTGATTTATACTGTTGATCCCAAATTCTCATGCACTATTTAAGCATCCTAAGATGGGAATACAAGGGAGAAGGAAAGAAATTAAATATTATTGTTGGTCCTTTTCTACAGTTGTTATATAACTGTGCTTGATGAGCCAACTGTACGGGCTATCAATTCTTTTTGCATTTAATGTCGCCAATTGTGTAATTATAGCTCTGTCAAGCCTTCCAGCCTACTGTTTGCAGTTCTTTTACAGTAGGAGAAAGAATGCATATTCCAGAAAGGGGAAAAATGAAGCCCCTAAGTAAGTCCAGCTTTAAAAATGTTGGCAAAGCAATACAGATTTACTCTTAAGGAAAATAATGTTGAACTGAAGGGGAAAAAAAATCCTGACTATCTGCCACTTCCCCTGTACCAAAATCAACCACACTACAGATCATAAAAAAGGGGTTGTTTCATGAATTGGAGAAGAGAAGGTGTGTGGTAGTTGGTCTGTGGTAGTTTCTGCAATAAGAAACTGTTCATCTTGTTCCCTATACACTAGATTTCCATAGTCACAGATTTGCAAAAATCCCCCTTAAATCTCTGTGTAAGACTAGGAGTCTTATATGTCTTTGTCACAAAAATAGTAAGTCATAGTCATCTTTTAGCTTTAAATGATTTGGGAAAAAAACTTCCCTATTCCTGCTTTCAGTCAAATCTCTGTCCGGTGAATCTTCCTTAAGAAGTCAAATAATACAGTTGTGGTGGTTTATTTCTTTGCCTGTTTTGTTGGTTTTGTTTTTCTTTATGGTGAACCAGTGCTTTATATTCTTTCTGCCAACTGACAGCCCTCCACTACGCCAAACCAAACCAACCAAACAAACAAAAAAACAACCAAAAAAAACAACAAACCAACCACAAAAGATGACGACAACAATAACAAAAAAGAGCTGGTTTCTATCTTTCTACATCATTACGTATTATAGAAATTTGAGGCAACGAAGACAACCAGCAGATGTTGACAAGGCAGTGCTTGCTTATTCATCACAGTAAAGTATTAGTGGAATTAAGACACGTTTTTGCTTCTTTGGGGGGGGGCCCGCCCAAGTTTGGCTAAGACTAGGCTGCTTTAAAAGGCTGTCTTCTGCCTTGTATGTCCTCTCATCAATTGGCGTGGGAAGAAGGATGTGGACGTGAGGCTTTGAGGAGGAGTGTGGAGCTTGAGAGACCTAGTGGATCAGTTCGGAGAAGTCTTTGTCCTCATAATAAAAGCCGAGTGCTGCCTCACTGCAAGAAGCTGACTTTTGATGACTGGCCTTCAGGAGAAAAAGTGATAAATATAGTATTGCTACTTTACAAAACTATTTGGCGTCTTCTGGTAAATGAACTAATAATGACTGAAAGCATGTCTCCTTTCTCATGTGAGAGACAAACATTTGATCATTGTCACTTTGCCACTCCCACAAAATACACATCCTTTTTTCCTTTAGAGAATTTAACATGCATCAGTAAGCAATGTTCTCAGGATCTGTCAGTAGGATTTATATCTGAGATGTAGCACTAGATATCCAGAGCACAAAGTGCTCCACCCAGGGAAGAGGCACACCACCACCAGCAGTAATGCAGTGCTCTGCTAAGCCTCTTCTGGTCTCCTGAAGTCTCTTCTATTGCCCAAAGGATTAATAGATATCTGTCTTCATGGTTGCATCAGAATCAAGGAGATATCAAGGAGACTGATTTTTCACTTACACTGAGAATTTCTGGCACTTCTGGTTGTTGTAAAGTGGTATTAAAAGACCACATAAATTTAACATATTTCAAGCCAATTTTGAAGTGTCTTTTTAGCTGATCTTTGTGTAAGTGAAGTGAATAGGCATGAGGACAGACGGAATTCCAGGACTGCCTACATCGTAAATATTTTTTCTGAATATAATATTCCTCACAAATAGTAATCCAGCTAGCAGATAGATGCTATTTTCCTCATCAGAGATTTTGTGCCTTCTCAGTACCAGAAAGTTCTTGCTCTGTCTTCTGATATCTTCAGATTTTCCATGTAGGTGTTGAAAAAGGCTTGTTTGCCTTCTCATTTCACAGCACTGACTCTTGGAACAGTTCCCTTCTGATGACAATCACAAAGAGCAGGTCCTTCTCTACGTCTTATGCCATGTCTCCTACCAACCACCTGAATGCCAAAAGGCAGAGCCGCCAAGGTGAGTGGTCGCCCATGGTCTTGTTGGACTCAATCAACTTCTTGGGAACTCGGTGACTAGAACATGCAGCTGCTTTTATTCTCTGCCCAATCTGTGTATTTTGTTATTTTTCCATGAGTATGAATATATCCATTTACTTTATTTAAAAAATAATCAGTGGCTTAAGATGGTTCCATTGGCAATACGTAACAATTCTTGCTGGGAGTTGCTCTAGATAAATTTGTAAACCTATTAATTAACAAAGTGTGTCTTAATTTATGCTTGGAAGCTTAGCATTTTAAAGTACTGCTAGCTATATGTGTTTTGGCAAAATTCTCAAGTATAATTTCACATTGTATCAAAGTTACTGTTTTATTTCTTCAACTCTGAATGTTAAAAATTTCTGCAGATGGATACACTTAAAAAAAAATATGTCATTCATCATCTTCTCTTACTTTGATTGTTCAAGGTTACTTCTGATAGCAAGACATGTTTTCTCTCACTTTTGGCAAGAAATTCTTAAATGTCAGAATATTCTAAATAGTTTATTTTTGTTTCTTTGTTTTACTTACCCTGGTAGGAAAATGTTCAAATGACAGGAGTCCAGACTAGCAAAAGAGAGCTGGCTGTGATTAGAAATATTGTTGTGAAAGTCAGTGTATGAATTCTGAAACTTGCATTAAGTTGTTGAAAGATACATATATTGCATTCTGTGGCAGTCATAAAAGTTACCTGATAGCTTATACCTCAAATGTAGTTAAAAATCCAACTTAATCTCTTGTTCGACTAGAAGGCTTAGAAGTGTTTTTAAAACATATTTTTGTCAGATAGAAAGCAGATCTCAGTAGCTGTGAAACAGAGCTTTATTTACAGATTATTATTACAGAACTTTATCTATACAGAAATAAAATTTCTGTAATTTAATTAAATTTCCATGTCATGACCATTGGATAACTTTTTAACTGCTCCATAGGCTGTAGCTTTCTGATCTCAAAACTAGTATATTATCTTCGTGGAAATCACTGAATTAAGACAGCAACATGAATCTTGTTTTCTGAGGAAATTCTGTAATCAAAAACTTAGATGATGTTGAATATCTCAAAATTACAGTTTAGCAACTGTCAAAGATTATTTATTACTCATCGATGGGCAACAGAAATCATATTTTAACCTCACGTCTCATTAAGATATCAGGAGAAAGCATTGGAACTATAGACATATATCCTGCCAACTTAAGCCAACATACGGCCTCATTCTAAGTTAATTGTGCCTGGAATGCATTTAGATAGCAGGCACAGTTCAAGCATGAAACCAGTTAAAGCTCCCAGTTTACATTATTCAACTCTGGAGATGAACATGGTAGATGAGCTGAGGTTGAGTTCCTACAGACTTTAGAACTGAGTTCATGAGGTATGCCTACTTAAAAGCATTTCCATTAAAGAGAGATGCTTTTTGCACCCCTATGCTTTATTGTAACGGAACCATTTTGTCTGAGACTAGAAAATGTAAGTTGGATTTGAAGAAACAGCAGCAATTTATATCACACGCTGGGTTCACTGATGCATTTCATTTTGAAGTGGTGCGGAGATAGAATTGAAGACAGGAAGAACAATGCTAATGTTTGCATATGTGAATATTACTAGATTCTAGATCAGCAGTACAATACGATGTGTTACAGATAATGGTTATGAGTTTTCCATTGTGAGGAAGACATAATTGAAAATAAGTTCAAAGTGCATCAAAAGAGGCCAGAATCAGGAAGGAATGCAGAAATGGCACCATAAGTATAATATTTTGTATTAACATAATGTATAATTACTAAGAATTGCTTTTTTAATTATTGTTCTTTATATATTGCTAATAATCTCACATGTAGAAATCCAAATTTGCTGAGAATGTGGGTTAGCCATTCTTGTCCCTTCTGTACAGATGAAGACAGTAAAGCGAGGAGAATCTGTAGATAAGTCTGGGGACTGTCTTGTTGGAGTTTGGTGCTTCTTTTACTAGAACATACTGATACCAGTAGTGACGTTCCCAATGCATGCTTTTCATTTCATGCCTTCTACTTTATTTATCCTACCTAGTAGGGAGAATGCTTTGAGCACAATCTTCTGCAGGTGAAAGCAGCTGATAGTAATGGAGCTTCATCATTCTGTGACAGCCATCAGCTTGGCTGAGAGTAGAAGAGCGTTTTTTCTCTATTTTTCATTTTGGAAGCTATGCTTCTGCTTATGTATTAAAAGAGCACTATTTGTGCACTCAGTGAACTTGACCATCTACTGCTACTGTTAATTGACAAGACTCTTTTCTTGCCAGGTATCCCACCAAATATTTCACCACTCACCTCTCCATGCCATTCACCTCTTCAAGGGACGCCTGCTACAAGTCCTACCGGAAAGACATCTTCTGTGTCATTTCCAGACTCTACAGATACTGACACCAAGCAAGGTTTAAAACCACACAAAGTCTTAACTGCTACTCAGAGTGCACCTAGCCTGTCAGAACCTAACATCAGCCCCTCTGTCATCTGCAGCAGGTAAGATGGTAGTTTGACATATGTTGGATCATTTGACATTGTCTCACAAACTTTAGATGCATGTACAAGTTCTTGTAATCTGCTACAGTATTGATATTTTAACATATTTAAGCAGTTCTCAGTGTGTAATTGTGTAGGTTGCTGCTACAAAGTGATTTTACAGTGAAAGACTGTTAGCTACATACAGCTTTTACATGTCTCCTTCATGAACGAATGCTTCATCAGTAGCTTTCAGACCTGAAAGTTGGATTTCGTGCTAATAGCTTGAGTTTCTCATGCCATGCTGCCAACATGAGCAACCACTTTGAGGTCATAGGCTAAGTCTTTCAAAACAGGCACCTGAGGTTAGATACAAAAATATAACTGCTAGAGTTTAAAATCTGCTGGCCTATAACCCTCTGCCTACTGTCTGATAGAAGTGTTCCAGCAGTGCCTGAAGAATAAGGAATTTGGAGGACTGGCTCAGGAGTGGAACTTGTCTTCCCTAAGTAGAGTCAGATTATGTGGCATTGGGATGTTTTTCAGAACTCACCTGCTGCTGAGATCCTCTTACTGCCATGAGTTACAATAATGGTTTAATTTCACACTTTAAGGCGTCTCATTATTAGATTTGTCAAATTAGGCTACTGGAGCTTTCAATATATGTCCAGCTCAGAATAGCTGTAAACACTGGTATTTAGAAGCTGGCTTCAGTACAGTTTCAAATTGATCTTACCTTTTAGTTGTTACTTTTAATTTAGTAGTAAGTTGTTTGTGAGTATTGGCTAGCCAGCAGGCACCATGTTTGAGCTTTCACAGTGTACACTGCTGTATTCGTGGTACGTGGTGTTCTATATTTACTGCAAAAAACCTGCCTTGCCGCAAAGTAATACCAACTCGGCAAGCTTTTGCAACCAACAAATCAACTCCCTCCCTCAACAACAACCACAGAGGTAATAAACTCTCAATGGATTCTGTGCTTTGAATCAGATCCATTCAGGCGATGGATCTGATTCCATCAGCAGTTTTGCTTTCAGACAAAGTGACATATGATAAGACAACCGAGTGTGAAGGTGTTATTAAACATGAGCATGTACTAGGCAATGCTGTTAAAATAATGTCTCTTAAAATAAGTCATGTCTCTTAATTTTGTTTAGTGGGTGAGGCAGGTATCTAGCGAAATAATGTTCAAAAATGCTGTGATTAAGAACTATATTATAATCCCTACATGTAAAGGGGATTGGTTTAAAGTGTTTTGTTTGGGCCACACATACTAAATAAGTATGAATTTCTATGTGATCTGAAAGCAAAAAGGTGCATTCATAATAACACTAAAGCCTTGTGACACAACCAGTCAGAGGCTCTGTTCTTATTTACATTTTGGCTTGTTGTCACTGACCTTATAGAAATTGTGCCATGCATATCATAACATGGATTTGTAGTTTTATTTTAAATTCTTTCAGATTTTCATGATTGCAGGATGTACCAAATTCCAGAATATGTTTTTGATGACCCTGACAAATAGGATTTCAGCCATTTTTGTATGGTGCTCTTACAATGATGTAATGTTTCTAGTCTGAAGATTTACCAATTTAAATACTTCTTTAAATTTTCTCTTTGCAAAGACTATTTGTACCACAAAATATGAAGTAAAGCTAGAGAAAGATGTTAAAATGTCAACATGGGAAAATTTGTTATAATGCTTCTAAACATTCTTGCATCAGGAAGAATGGAACATCGTTACCTGAGATGTTCCAGCTAGCACTGTACTCCTGCTTAAAGGGAATCACACAAAAAGAATAAAGCATTTTAGTGGAAATAAAGAGCCAGGCATTTGGAAAAGCCTTACTATTACAGTTCTTCCCACAGAGTCTGTTCTGGCAGCGATTAAGCAAATTCTTTTGTGTTGTTGTTTTTTTTTGCTAAATGTCTGAATGCCAAATCAGTCACCTTGTATTCTATCCCACACTCTCACTTTGTTCTGCTATAGTTGGTTTGTTGTCACTGCAGTAATGGCAAAATAACTTTCTGCATTATTACAGAGAAACAACGTGATGATGTTGAAATGCAATTATATAGCATTGTACGGCATTCTGGCAAATTTTCACTCTTTTCTTTAATCCGTGCTCATAGTGCAGCTGTAGTACAAATAGTACAAATTTTTGTTTGTTTGTGTGTTTTGTACTGGTAAACTTATAAATTTAAAAGGTGTCGTATAGTTTAACTGTAGGCAACACAAATTAATTGCATTGGTCGGATAATATAAGGTATAAACCTGTCTTTTTCCATTTCTGTCTTCCAGTAAAACTTCAGCTCACTCTTATAATTTTGTCTTTAGAATACAGTCGATGCCATAGCTTGCAATATATGACTTATTATCATTTATTGCCAGCAGGAATTCTTTTTCCATAAGACTATCCAATGCACGTGGTCTTTATATTGTGTATGTTTCTTGATGTTGTTTCAGCTGCGGCAGACCCTACAACCAAATAGAAGCTGGTGATGGTACACTAGATAGGAGCCACGGTACCACCCACACCCTAAATAGAACAGGTAATTCTTTGTTGAACAAAAGCTTCTCATCCTTTAAAATGTAATAGTTGTTCACTGAAAGGGCAGATATGCCTCAGTCTCACAGAAAGAAAACATATGAAGGTGAGACCATACAAACTGCCTTTGAGGCTTCTTTCCTTTCTTGCTTGTTCAACCCCTGGAAAAGTCTCATGAAGAATATAGATACATTGCAAAAATAAATATGGTTTCCCATACAGTTTAATCTAAGCTAGCCAGCACAAATAATGGCCATCAAAATTTTTCCTGGTTTTCAGTCTCTGTTCCAATTTTTTACACTCTGCAGGATATATGCTTTAATACCTTTGGACAGCTTGTTCAACTTTAGACCCAGCCAAGCAGCACAGATGTATTATGAGTCAGAGATCCTGTTAATATTCAGAAGGTCACAGGATGACATTCTTGCAGTCCTTGCTGTTCGTACAACCAGCTTTGTTACTTGTTTTCTAGATGATCCTGCGCAAGCCACTTCTGACTATGAGACCAACAACAGTGACAGCAGTGATATTGTACAAAATGATGATGAGGCAGATTGCTCCAAAGAAAAGGCACGGAAGGGGTCTGTCTGTAGGACATATGCACCTGAGACCATCATTCTGCATCCTTTGATACCACCTGAGGTAGCTTGTTTAAATTCTGTTGTCCATACTGGCTGAATGTATGCAGAATCTCACAAAAAGAAGAAAGAAGAAAAAATAAATAACCCTCTAGGGCAGCAAAAGATTTAGTCCATGATTTGAAGCAAAAAAAAAAATCATTAGGCTCATATCTTTTAGTAACTTCTAAGCACTGACCACCTGTGAGGCGCTAACCATATATTTTGATGAATTAGTATAAGCTTATGGATCTGGCATTTGGCACTTGTGAAGCATTTGGCTTCTGTGTTAGTGTTGCCTTTAAGGGGAATAGATCGAAAGGAAAAGAAATGACCATCTCAGACTACCAGCATGATGTACTGTCTTCCTGCTCAGCCACTTCAGCTTCTCAATGGCCTTGCAATCTTGATAATATATAGCAAGCCTTCGTTTAAAATAAGTGAACACTTCCTGCATGATATCATCATCATCAGATGTCTTGAACGTAAGAACACTGACAAGTGTTGATCTTCTCACAACTGCTGTATTCAGCTGTGAATTTGATTCAGAGGTTCAGTTATTTTTTTTTACAATCTGCTGTACAACTGGATTAACAAATTCAACTTGGCTTGACCTCTTGAAAAAATCATTCTAATCTGTTGAATCGGAGTTGGACATGCTGAAAGCAGGCATTTTTCCTGAGATATTTACTCATTTACAGTTTCATAGAAATAAAGAAATACAAGGAAGTGTTCAGGAGAAATGTGATAGTAGGGGAGTACCCCATCTTTTGTTTGCAGGCCTGGAAAGTGGTAGTCTCGATTTGGTAAGTCTTCCCTAACAACATGCTCCATTAACCAGCATAGACTGTAATGGATGTGTCCTGATGCAGAAGGAGAAACTGAACATTTTCCCCTCTGCACTGCAGCAAATTTTACAATGAAGAAAACTCAGTTGGAAATGAATGAATGGTTCCCATGAATGAATGAATGTCTGTCATGGACAAGTTCAGAGACTGATGTTTCATAATACAGAATTTCCTATCCATGTGAGCGAAACAAATTATAAAAGAGTGTCTAGCTGCAGGGCTGGTAGAAATGAGGACAGCTCTGCTGAGCTGAATAAAACACCATTGGCTTAGAAATGATTCTAACATGACCTTAGTTTTTCAGAACATAAATTTTTTGCATGAGTTGCTTCACAGAACTGAAATTTATTTTATTCTATTTTCTGGCATAGGACAAGCCTGTACTCGCTCCTGAGCCTCTGGTTATGGACAACTTGGATCCTCTAATGGAGCAGCTTAACAGCTGGAACTTCCCAATCTTCGATTTGGTAGAAAAAATTGGAAAGAAATGTGGTCGGATTCTCAGTCAGGTAAGAATGACATCTCATCTGTGATGACTCGCTAGATTATTGAGATTTATTTGACATAGTGCTAAGACCCATAAGCTGATTATCCTATAAATGATGATCTCTAATACGTAAACTAGAGCTGACAATATGAATTCCTTGTCAATAAATTTCTTACTTTTAAATTCTCATCACTTTTTGTTTAATAATGTGAAAGAAAAAAAAAAGCTAGATACCTATTCTCTCTGCTTCTGTTCACAAACAAGTTCACATAAACCCTTTTGAACATCCTTACCTATCTGCAGGATCTGCTTTCATCCCTTACCAAGTATTTTGTGAAAGGATTTCTTATGGGGTCCACTGTGGGAGAGCTAAACAGTAAAAATACTCAGTTTAATGCAGGAAATCCTTTTCTATATTGGAGACTTCAGTCAGGCAGTGCAAGAAAGTAAGGTTTCAAGAAGTGGGGAAAAAAATAGTCTTTGCTATATTTCCTCACCTTTAAAGAGTGAATATTTTGGTAGTAAATTAAGATCATTATTCTGTAAAACTAATTTTCTATGAATGGGGATGTGAGAGCCTTCTGCTCTTTCTTTTCAGATGTTGATTTTTCATTCCCTTCTCTATGTTGAATGCAGATACTGACACAGCCCTTCTGTATTCAGCACAGTTGGTATCAATTCCATAATCAGTTTCTTGGCTGAACTCTGCTCTGTGGTTTCCCTTTTCCTAGCATGTTGACATTTTTTTCTCTAATTGAGGTATTAAAGTTTATTAAATGGAAAATGAAGTAATTATATTTAGGATGGTGAGGAGAAAAAAAAAAAAAAACCAACACAGGAGACTGATATAGTATTACTTTACAAGGTATTATGTAGCGATGAGTGCTGGAAAGAAGTATTTGTTTATTGGTATGTGGGAAAATTAACACCCACACACAAGCAGAGCGGCCAGTCGGTCAGATCTGAGAGCATGGGCTGCCTTTTATCATTCTGTATTTTTCAAGTACCATATATACCTACCCAGCCTACCAACTCTCTAGGTTAGTTTTGGAGAAACAGGCAAACTGTGGCTGGATATGGGCATTGGTATATATTCACCATTGATCGAGACAGCCGTGCGATACGCAGGAGGCACGTGATTAACATTCTCTTCTACATGTTCTTTGTCATGATTTTGTTTAGCAGCAGAGCATCTTACAGACTCAGGAATGAAACATAAAGAAAAATAGAAACATTTCTAGTGTCATAACTAGCAGTTTGAATGATCAAGTTTGAATGAACAAAAGCTTTGTTCAGCTTCTAGCTTTGTCTGGCTACTTGTGTAGGTCTTAGACACTTTACCAAGTTGCATGGAATTCTGTACCTCTCAGGACAATTTCCTTCTGCTGCCCAGGCTTTTCATTAAGACTCCACACTCTGTTTATGAACATTTTCTTCTTGAACATATTGTTCTGTGTACATTCTCACTGTTGCAGTGTCACAAAATGAGGCCTATGAAATTGAATAGAGAAGCATAAATAAGTAATATTTGTGAAAATTTACCATCTTCTGTAGCAGCTGTTCACAACTCCCACTGTCTTAGAGCAAAATGTAGCAAGTTCAACCTTGTTCTTAAAATAAAGATAATTTCTATTGTTCTTTCCTCCACCTACTAAGATGTTCCTAACAAAATTATTTTCAGAAGTAAGAGATCCAAAATAAGCAATTTGTTTTCTGCAGATAAAACGTATTGTCTTTTTCTTGTATCATTTCAAAATGCTGGATAGTATCAACAAAGGAAAACAAAAGCTCTAATGATTTATTCTCTGCTTTTTGCCATTAAGTGGACTCATCCACTAAAAAATAAGTAAATTAACAAGCTGAATTAACTATGTTTGTCTTGCTAGGTTAAATTTATGAGATGGAACAAAGTGGAGTTGACATGTGCCTCTAGGGAGGCATTCAGTTTAGAAAGCAAATGCTGGCATAGCGACTTTAAAGCTGCTTGGGATGTCTGTTTCTTCTTTTAGTAATGTTAAATTTATTTAGATATATAAAAAGACCCTGAACCAGTTGGTGGCCATAGAGGCATCTATGCAAAATACAGTGGAAAGCACCCTAAACATGGCACTAACCAATATGCATAGTAGGGGTTAGGGAGGAATTTGCATACCAATCTAATTTCAGAAAGGAACAGCAAAGCTTCCAACTGAGATGGTGCTTCACAACAGGCCATAAAGTTAGATAATGCTTTCAGTCACAGTTCTTACAACTCCTACATAAATAAAGACCTGCAGAAGAGAAACTCTGGAAAGCAAATAAAGGATGTGTTAAAGGATAGGCTAAGGTCAAGATCTCTCTCCAGCTTTTATTGCAAAGCCCCAAGAAATACAAAACATTGGTGGTACTCCTGCAATTTTTCTACATCAGCAGTATTGAGATAGAGTGCAAAGAGGAATATTCGGACATCTCATAATCATGCATGACTTCTGAAGAGAAAAACTGCAGCAAGGATGGGGGGAGTAGGGAAATGCTAACCTAAACGTTGCACAAGTCCTCTGAGACTTGAATGTATGCCCCTTACACCCAGGAGAGGAGGTATGCGTGAATGACAATCCCCACTTCTAAAAAAGCTTCCATTAGAAATCATAAGGGAGAAGCACTTGTTCCTGTTCAGGCAGCAGCATGAAGGGTAGCTGTGTTATAAATGATTCACCCAAGCATTAGCATCTGTAGCAGAGACAAACAGAAGATGGAGGCAGAAGGGAGGAGGCTGTGAGAGCAGACAATATGAAGTGGCTGGACATTGTCACAGCTTCTTTAAGGCTTGTGTTCCCTAGGTTGTGGGGGCTGCACCACAGCTGTGGGTCTAAACGATTACGTGTCAGAATGACTTGCTTGGCTGTTTCTCTGATGACCAGAGAAAATAATGCCATTTCACTCGTAGGTCACGGGGAAGAGCTACCATTCATATCCATCACAACCTGCTTATTTTCTCACCAGCTGCAGAGTTCTCCCCAGAAAATCCAAGGGGAGGGAAAAAAAACATGCTTTTATTACATGTTTTACTTAAGGTCCCTGTTCAGTGTTGGTGGAGTAGCACTGTAAAGTTTGGTCTTGCAGGTTAATATTTCTTTATCCTTCCCCTCTGAGGACAGAGACATTTAGCACAAAACATGGAGCTCATCATTCAGTGATCTAAGACTGGTGTGTGAAATACATTATTTCTATGTATGAGAAAGGTTGAATCAGGACTAATTCACTTCAACCACCATTCCAGATAGACTAGCAGGATTCTATGAGCCTTCTAATCCAAATTACACATAAAGACAGCCTCTTTGTTCTGCCTCAGTAGAGCAGGATCCCAGTTTTGCCTTTTACAGCCTCACATTTTCTTTTCCTTCTGTGAAATGACACTACTGGTTTTCACCTGGGATGTCTCCCTCCTTTGTAGACTGCATCTATTTAAATATAGAACATTGGAAATCACAGAACCGTATGGGTTGGAAGGGACCTACAGACATCATCAAGTCCAACCCCCTGGTAAAGCATGTTCCCTACAGCAGGTGACACAGAACGGTGTGTTGATGGGTGTTGAATATCTCTAGAGAGGGTGACATCACAGCCTCTATGGGCAGCCTGTCCCAGTGCTGTCCCCCTCAAAACAAAGGAGTTCTTCCTTGTGTTTGTACGGAACTTCCTGTGTTCCAGTGTGTGCCCATTGCCCCTTGTCCCATTGTTGCTCACCTCCAGAATGCCTGCCCCCATCAACTTGACTCTTGCACTTTAGATATGTATAAACAGTGAGGAGATCCTCTCTCAGCCCTTTCTTCTCCAGATTGAAGCATCCCAGGTCTCTTAGCCTTTCCTCATCTGGGAGATGCTGCAGGTCCCTAATCATCTTTGTGGCCCTTTGCAGGATTTTTTCTAGGAGATCCCTCTTTTCTGAACTGAGGAGCCCAGAACTGGGCACAGTATTCCAGATGTGGCCTCACCAGCACAGAGTAGAGGGGGAAGATCCATTCCTTAAACTTGCGGAAGGAACTTCTCACAGGTCACAGTTTGTATATGTGGTGTACAGTAGAAAATAGCTGTGGATAGCCATTTGGTTTACATTAGGGTGTGAAACTCAGAGCAGAATTTGTAATAATTTCTTATGAGTATAGCACTCATCCTTTCAAATGTGTCTTAAGTTGTTTAGCTCTAGACAGACCATTACCTGATAAATGGCATGAAAGGGACAATATTTAGCTAACAACAGTAGATAAATAAAGAAGCTGAAAGAATTCAGGGTCTGATCTGTGAAAGAAGTGAAGAAGTGATACAGTAATTTTAAAATGTACCATTATTTTCTAAGTTCAAGTGTATTGTGCATTTTGTCCATTTTGCAGTTGCTCCTGTCTGCATTTCTGAACTTGCATCTCTCCTGAACACCCCCTCACTCAGTCATCACATTCTCCTTTTTGATGTATCTTCTCTTGGATGTCTTCAGCAACTCTAAGCTGCTTGCTGCCACTGAAATCGTAAAGTCATTTTTCCCATTTGATTGACAAAATGGGAAGTAAAGGAAGGAGATGATGCTGAGAACCCAAATCATTATGTCCTGTTTCTCATTCTTCCACTTACTCCCTCTTTTTCTGGGAAATGAATTGACTCACGAATGCTTCTTGAAGAAGTTTGTGGGGAAATTTTCCCAAGACACTAAGGAGCTCTGGCTATCTGCCTGTGTGTATGCTTCTGAAGTGCTTGCAGACTGTGGGAGATCCATGTGCCTGAAAGGAAGAGAAGATCGTCTGGAAGGATATATTGAAGGAACAAGAACAGTTTGATAGCGATAAGTTGTCTGTTTGTCTGTGCTACAGAAATGCAAATAGCTGCTGCTATAGATGGATCAGATTACGTGCTTGATAAAATACTACCAAGAAAGCAGAATTTTGTGGGATGATTGGGCAGAATGGTTTTTATATGTAATTTTTAGATTCTTTCTGGGCAACTTAACAGAATGCCGTTTCTTTTTTTCTTTTTTTTCCCCAGGTATCATACCGGCTTTTTGAAGACATGGGGTTGTTTGAAACCTTTAAAATTCCAGTGAGGGAATTTATGAACTACTTCCATGCCTTGGAATGTGGATACCGAGAGATACCTTGTAAGTAAACATTCCCAGCAGATAATAGCGCTTCCTTAAAGCTTTGGGTATTTTCCATACACTCAGTTATTGAAGCATTTTTTCCTCTTATTACAACAGGTACTTCTTTTTTTTAAAGAAGATGTCCTTTTTTATTAACCTTCTTATATGATGAAGGAGATCACACACTTTCCACGTACACTGTTTCAGAAGACAGTTGTGCAGTGTCTATATACAATCAATGAATATACAGATGATATAGTATATTGAGAGCTTGGCTTATATAATTATTATACTAGAGCAGAAAAAGACATTCACCCTATCCTGGGCTTGCATAGGAAACTCCAGTGGAGTAGATCTCCAGAAGAGTTCCTTCCCCACTGGTAGCCAGCTCTTAAATGGGTCTAGGAGAGGTGGAGCCAGGCTCCACCCCTTCCTGCAGCACAGGTGAATTGCCTTCACCTGTACTCCCATGGCTGACTCATTGCTTGCCTCAGGTGATTAATCAGAGATTCAGGCCATGATTCAGCAGCCCCATACAGTCTAACATAAATAAATAATAGAAAAGGGTGTTTGAAAAGCTAAATAGCAATAGCTGACCGTACTGTATGCATGAAATCATTCATGTTTTCTTGATTACTAAGAGAGGAATATTTTTCCTGACTTCTGCTCCATCACTGACAAATAGATGGCTATTTAGTCAGAGGCTGGTTTTATTCCATAACCTCACTCATCCTCTTTCATTGCATTTACTGTTTCATGTTGTTTAAAAATAATTTATGGGAAATATTTTTGCAAGCTTGCAACCACATGGAACTACCATATATACAAAGAACAGTTTTCTGATGACATGTTTTCTGATGATGCAAGTGTACCCCTGTCCTAGCTGGAGTTCACTGAAACATTCCCTCCGTGGGAGATTTGGATTTTTTACTATTTACAGAAATAGTGCAATGTTATCAAAATAGACATGCTTTGTAAAGCAGAAAAGGTAGACGAAGTAGTTGGGTGCGTCCTGCTCTTCTTTGACTACACCTAGGCTAGTATTTTTCAGTGTGAATCATTTATTCACTGAAAAACCTGCTTTCAGTCATCCCCAAAGTATTTGCTAATTCAAATCTAACTTAAAGAACACTTCAACCGTGAAAGACTATTTTTCTCTCTGGAGAAGAGAGGGAGTTACTGCCCTGTTAACTGGCAAATAAATCCTGTGCTGAGAAATATAGGACACCCTATTTACTCCCACCTTCCAAAAAAATGTCTGAAAAATTGGTGTAACTTATGTAGTCTCACTCTTAAAATATTAAATATAAATTGGAACAGCTAAACAGTGAGGAACTGAAAGCAAGCTGTGTCAGAATGCCCTCCATTCAGCTGGTTTGGACTCTCTGTTGGGAAAGTGGGACAACAAATTTCAAATCTTTCCTTGTGTTTGAATCTGAGAGGGATTATAAACAGCAGATTATAGCCTGAGGCCTTGTATATGAATGTCCGGCAATCTTTCCTCTTTGTTTTCAACAACTTTCAACACTTCTCTACTCATAGGGGCTCAGGAATTTTTGTGAATCTAGCCTTCCATTTATGTGGCTTTTCTTATGTGTATTTCATGTTACAGCCAAATATTTTTTCTAATACATAACTAATTTACCTTCCAACTTTTCATTTCTGTGAAGGAGTAGAAAACAAAACAACTTGCTTTGATTAAACAAGTCTTTTTGTCTGGTTTCTGAACTGAAAAATGACTGTTCCAGTTGGATTAAATTAGTACAGGTTTCACAAGATGTTCATCCAGCCTTTATCCTATAGAAAAGCTTTAGAACCCTGTGCAGAACTCAGTTTTGCATGTGGATATTAGTACTTCAAGAAAGACAGGAAGGAGATCTCTTCCTTATTTTCCTTTTTTATTTCCAAAATACATCCATTCCTATGCTGCTTACTGTTTTGTTGTTACAAAAATAATTAAAGAATTGTAGCTCATGATCACTAACAAATATTTAAAGGGAAGGATCACAGGAGAGCAAGAGATGAAAGTTAGGGGTAAATACTACGGTCAAGTGGCATGACATTATGCCCACATTTAGTGAGCAAAATGACTGCAAACTGTAAATATAATAAACGTTAGTGTATTACATCCATCTGCCCTTGGCAGGTAGAATTCTAGGCTGACTTTATAGAGTGATAGAATTTCAAGGTTGGAAACGACCTGCAAGATCATCTAGTCCTCCCATTACCATTGCTACCACAAGCCTCTAACCCATATCTCGTAGTTCCTCATCCAGATGCCTCTTGAACACTGCCAGAGACGGCAATTCCACCACCTCCCTGGCAGCCATTCCAGTGCCTGACCACTCTCTGAGAGAAAAAGTTCTTCCTCGTGTCTAATCTAACCTTCCTCTGGTACAACTTGTAACTATTTCCTCAGGTCCTGTTCATCGCCTGGGAGAAGAGACCAAACTCCTCCTCACCACAACCTCCCTTCAGGAAGTTGTAGAGTGCAATGAGGTCTCCCCTGAGCCTCCTCTTCTCCAGACTGAACAATCCCAGCTCCCTCAGCTGTTCCTCATAAGACTTGTGCTCCGGATCCCTCACTAGTTTCATTGCCCTTCTCTGGACACATTCCAGGGCCTCAATGTCTTTTTGTAGAGAAGGACCCAAAACTGAACACAGTACTCGAGGTGCGGCCTCACCAGTGCTGAGTAGAGTGGGATGATCACCTCCCTCTCCTGCTGGCCACACTATTTCTAATGGAGGCCAGGATGCCGTTGGCCCTCTTGGCCACCTGGGCACGCCGTCAGCTGATGTTCAGCTGAGCATCAACCAACACCCCTTTCCTCTTCACATTCAACACCCTTTCCAACGTTCACAACCAACACCCTTTCCTCTTCACAGTCATCCAGCCACTCGTCCCCAAGCCTATAGAGCTGCATGGGGTTGTTGTGGCCAAAGTGCAGATCATAATTCAGAAAAGCAGATTTCTAAGAGTATTATCTAATAATTATACTGCCTCAAATTAGCCTAAATTGCAAGTTGAAATACTTGTCTTTCAGTGATTCTACCCCAGATGTAAGCTATGGTTGTGGTGCAGCAGTATTACTCCTCTTCAAGCATCATGTTTGCTCTTGTCAGTGTATATTTTCATGATGCTCTATGGTGAACTAGCATCCAATTCTTTTTTCAGTTACTTGTGTTGATAATAGGATTGTTTATCTGGTCTTGAAGGATTTGTAGGAAAAGCTTTGTAGTGAATTATCTCTCATTTCTTCAAAGAGAACTTGTAGCAAGCCAAAGGAGCTGGGGCCTGAGCTCTTAATCTCTGGTCAGCAAAACACAGAAAGAACCTGGTTTAACTGTGCAACATGCACATATCCTGAGCTTGATTTTGTGGAGCTACCATTTGCAAGTAGGTTGAAATCTGGCTACTGAAGAGGATGAGCTTTCAACTGATTTCATTGGAATCAGAGGTTAACAGTGAATATTCAAGTCAGTGGCATTTAACTAGCAAAAGCAGCTACTGGGGTGAGGAATAGAACTAGAAGGCTCATTGTTTAATACTTTCTTTGCAGTTTCTGCAAACTGCTCTGCTGCTATTTTTCTCTTTCTGGACTGATACGAAGACTCAGAATTAAATTTGCTTCATCTATGGTGAAAGAAAAGCTGAGCATTTACAAAATACAGCTGTTTTTCATGGTTGTGATAACATTGGATTTGTCTCTGGCTCAGTTGACTGCCATGCAGTACCCACTAGATGGTGCTGATTTCCCTCTGTCAGAAATATTCATGTTTAATAGTGAGGTCATTTGTTTTGTATCACAGATCACAATCGAATCCACGCAACTGATGTTCTGCATGCCGTGTGGTACCTTACTACTCAGCCCATTCCGGGACTCCCAACTGTGATTAATGATCACGGGTCAGCGAGTGATTCAGGTATATTTAAATATACAAGTATTTATGTTGTATTTTTAAAACTTTTGACAAAATTTGCTGGACGAAAGCCAACAGCTGAGGAGTGAGTGCAGTACTTGTTATAAAGAGTAGCACACTGGATGCTGAATGTATGTTTGTGTAACTTAGAAGAGAATGGAATTGGTCTTCCAAAACCTAGTATTTCATATTCAGTGTGTGAATGCAAACCTTTGTGGTTGCTCTTAATAACAGGCATTTATTACCATTTGAATTTTACAATAGGTTTTCTTTAAGGAAACTGTATTAGCAGTGCTTTCTATTGCTCCTACAAGAGATGTAGACCTTTAAGTCTTCAAACCCTGCATTATTTTGCTATTGTGAAGGTATAGGAACACACAAGTGAAGGCATGCACTGTTGCTTGGTGGTTGTGAAGTGTCCCTTTGCCATTCCTCACTGTCCCCAAAGAAAGAGACTTGCAACTACCTTGCAAGACCATCCATCTGCTGTCTTATGATTGCTACTTACAAGCATATTTTCTTATTGCACCTTTGTATTAACTTCTCCAGCTTGAGGTATAGCAACTAGGGGGCCTGTCTGTATTTTGTGGGCCTTCTGAGGGATTTGCTGTTAAAGCAGGAGTTTGTTCCACGGGGAACATTTCTACTTCAACGTTTTTGCTGGTGTTTTTGTGGCACACACATACCATTTGTGAATTTCTTCAGGATGTTTTGGTGGTGGAAAGGGTTGCTATTCCTGGAAGATTTTGTTAGTTATCATACCATCAGGGGGGTATCATAACAGCTTCCATCATCCAGATCAGGGGAAATGGGTCGAATGAAAGGGATTGAAGTTTGGGGATTTTGGTGTTTGTTATTTGAAATATAATCACAGAATCATAGAATGCCTTGGGTTGGAAGGGACATCAAGGATCATCAAGCTCCAAGCTCCCCCCTCTGCAGGCAGGGTCACCAACCTCCATATCTAATACTAGACCAGGCTGCCCAGGGTCCCATCCAATCTGGCCTTGAACACCTCCAGGGAGGGGGCACCCACAGCCTCTCTGGGCAGCCTGTTCCAGCACCTCACCACTCTCTCAGTAAAGAACTTCCCCCTGGCACCCAGCCTGAATCTTCCCTCCTTTGACTTAAAACCATTTCCCCTTGTCCTGCTGTTACTTACCCTTTCAAAGATTTGACTCTCCTCCTGTTTTTAGCCTCCCTTTAGGTACTGGAAGGTTGCAGTGAGGTCACCCTGCAGTTCAGTGCTTTTCAGCTGTATATGAATTCATTCAGTGCATCTCACTCAAAATCTGCCACTGACAGGGACACATTCAAGCTGTTTCTAAAAGAGGCTGGTAAGAGGATTAGCAGCAAAGAAGTAAAAGTCTAGACCTTGGATTGGAAAACATGCATCTACACCTACTGAATCCATATATGCTATTCTACTACTTTAAGAACAGACAGTATTTCATAGACTAATCTTTATGGTGAAGCAATTAGGTGAAGGTGTTGCAAAGATCGAGTTACCCACAAAGCTCCAGCATGTCTGTACTACTTCTGTCTGTACTTTTTGTAGTTTGAAAGCAGCCTCTGCTGGAGGAACATCCCTGGGGGGATCTGAAATTGTACCTTTTCAATTGCTTGCCTTATAGCACCAGGTCAGGTACGCATCGGAAAGCATTCAGGTCAGAACACGTTTACTCTTCAGTTAGCTACTGTGAATTCTCCACTCCTTCTGCTTTGCTGTTCCCATATGTTTCAGTAAGTCTCTGAAGAAAAAAAAAAAAAAAAAATGGTCAGGAATTTTCTAAATGTATTTATTTCTGTATATATTCAGATTCTGACAGTGGAATCACTCACGGCCATATGGGTTATGTGTTTTCGAAGACATACACACCTACAGATGACAGCTACGGATGCCTAGCTGGCAACATCCCAGCTCTTGAGTTGATGGCTCTTTACGTAGCCGCAGCCATGCATGATTACGATCATCCAGGAAGGACTAATGCCTTTTTGGTGGCAACAAGTGCTCCTCAGGTAATTAAGACATCACTGTTAAGTTCAGAATGTGACAGATTTCAGTTGTCACTGGTGCCTGCAGCTTGCATTAAGCACAGTTCTACCTAATATCGAAGTAGTTTATCAAAGTGACAAAAATAAACACTTACCTTGGGGATTGCCAGTAAGTCTCTTTACACACCCTCACCACATTCTACTACTGGTACTGTTAAGAAAGGTGAAGATAAGATGTCATGGTGAAGGAGAAGACTGACACAATTTGTAACTAGGAAATAAAGGAAATATTATTCTGCACAATGAGGCACAGAAAGATAAAAAGAAACAAACAAACAAAAAAAGCCAGTAAAACAAAACAAACAAAAATAAACCACCACCTGCGTAGTTGCCATGTGCACCAGACAAGTAAGTTTCTGCACAATCATAACAAATATTTCCTATTGCTCCTGCAGTATATTAACAGCTGCGATCTTTTATGAATGTATCTTTACTCTCTGCCTCTATCAGGGAAAAAGATCATCTTAGTTTTACAGATTAGTAATTGAGACTTACCTAAGGTTACATGGAAATTGCTGCCAGTGCTGGCAGTGAAATTCAGCGATTCTGAGTCGCTGTTTATTGGCTTAATTATGAGATCATCTTTATTTACTTTACATAGCTGACCTGCTTAGCTTCAGCATACTGTGCTGAAAGATAATTCTGTGCACAAACAAAGAAAGGTGGTGTGATGGTGCAAAGTTGGGTAGGGATGCAGAAGTTCTGTATCTGCTCACTAACTTGGATCCAGACTTCTTTTTCACCAAGGGCAAATGATCTAGCCATGCTTTGTGCCAATTTCTGTCTACAAACTTATAGTAATGCTCCTCATCTTTGCAACATGTATTTGTCATCAATAACTCTGGATAAAGCTCTTGCTGGATAAATAGCCTGATGGGAAACACACTATTACTGAACTCATTTTTAAAAGTAAAAAAAGTTAGGTAATTAGCTTTGATGTATTGCCTATAGTTTGAGAAGAAATTAATGGACAAAGTTCAGAACCTTCTTGGGTTTTGTGTTCTTTTGTTGTTTTGTTGTTTTATTTTGTTTGGTTTTAATCTAGTATCACATGAAATTTTGGGCACTTGTATTCAGAATCTGTTTCTTACATATATATGTACGTATAGTTTATAAATATTATCTGTATTTCACCACAACCTGTATGAGCTTTCAGTAAAGCTGAAGTGCTGCTGGACAAAAAATATGCCTTGAGGAGTGGGGTCTTGGCAGCAAAATATATGTACATTAAATTATTACTGTGTAGTTAGGCAAGATAGACGGTAAACCTACATTGTTTCAGCAAACCAATCTCTGTGAGAAATAATAGATTCTATTCTTCAGGATAAGGTAGAATATTTTACTTCTAGATAGCAAAATATAATTTAAGTGAAAAGTAATGAAGAAAGCTTTAACACTGGAAGTTTTTATATTTCTGTAAAGTAGAAAACTTTACACAGAAACATATTTCCATAAAGGAAATAGTCAAGAGACTGAATGCTGCTGAAGTGAAGAGACTTCCTAGATTGTTGTTGTCCTATGAAGTCTGCTTTCTACATCCTTTTTCAATTTCATTTCTGAGTGAAATTGCTATCAGAATGGGATATATGCATCTTGGCTTTTAAATATTTAACCAGTTTTGGAGTGTTGTGCAATGTTGAGTTTCAAATTGAAGTTTCTTCCTTTTTTTTTTTTTCTTCAGAATTTGAAGTAAGTAGTATTGACAAAACTGTGAGATACGAACACAGGAGACAGTAATCTCTGCTAGTAGACTGACTCTGGCTAGTAGACTGGCTCTGGAAAACAGGGAAGTGCAATGTGATAATATTGATAAAGCTTATATGTGTTAAAAACGAATGAAAAAGCATATTAGATATTCACTGTCAGGTGATGTGATTTAGTATGGAACCAAAGACTCTTAAGCATGAAAAATCCAGATTTTAAAATAGATTTTAGCTTATCACAGCAGATAAGCTGTCTGCTTCTAATTCTGCAAAAATCGTATTATGAAAACCCGGGATATTCTTTACAAAATTAAGATCAACCAAACCTGAACATCCCTCATTCGTTACACCCACATCATACTGATTTCTGGAATCACAATGGTTTTTTTTGCTGAGCTGTTTCCCATATTGCTTTCACAGGCAGTGCTGTACAATGACCGCTCCGTCCTGGAGAACCATCATGCTGCTGCTGCTTGGAACCTTTTCATGTCGAGGCCAGAATACAACTTCTTGGTCAACCTCGACCATGTGGAGTTCAAGCATTTCCGCTTCCTTGTCATCGAGGCAATTTTGGCTACTGACCTGAAGAAACACTTTGATTTTGTTGCCAAATTCAATGCCAAGGTAACAAGATCCATTTGGATTTCTGGTGGGTGGTCAGAAAAGTTTCTGGGGCTTGTTAGCATCACAGTGAAATGACTCAAAAGCTTTCTGTGTTGCTTTTTCTTCTGAATTTCCTTTCAGTGTTGTCACCGTTATCAGCTACTGTAAAGCATTCTAATGAATATTAATCTAGCACTTCTATTGTCATTTTTAAATTATTTCAATTTAGTGCCATAGCTTCCTTCTTATGGTTGGTTGTTTGGTATTTTGTTGTTGTTGTTGTTTTGTTTTGTTTGTTTTTGTTTTTCCCGAAGTTGGTTTAAGGTAGGCTCTGTTGATAACATACAGAAGGACATTATGAAAGGCTAATTTACCCTGTTGAGGATATTATGCAATACGGGACAATTTCATGAAAATCCCACTTACATCCCACTTTCCAGCATTGTTCGCCTGTTCACTAACATTTTAAGTGTTATTAGCACTCAGGGAAAATAATCAGAGGTATTACCAAGTTTCCATAGTATCTGAATACTTAATGTGACTTTTTATCTATTTAATCATACTGTTCTGTTAGCAAAACACAGAAATCATAGTGATTTTGAAATTCTAATTTGAATGCAATGAAAGGATGATCCATCTCTCTTACTTTATTCCAAACAGGTATCCCCCTGAGATCACTGAGATCTTTCCTTTACACTCTCTTCAGGGAATATAAAATCACAACTCTGGGAATATATCTTAAAAATTATTGTGTAGTTTCAATCTAGTTTCAGTTTATTGGAAATAGTCACTTGTCAGGTTACTTTAATAAACTCCCTTGCTCATGCAAACTGTAAGTACATTACCTAAATAATATTTGCTTGGGAACTGGTATTGCCTTCTCATTCCTTGAATAAAACCAAGCACAGTGTGTTTCCTGTTCCCATTTAGGACCTCCTAGCTGATTTAGTGACATACCTATAATGTTTTCTTGCAGTATTGCTTAGGCTGGACCTGTACCCTGAAAGTTAGAAGCCTGCAAATGTGTGATTGGTTTTGTTTTTCATTGTCCTCTAATATTTCTCTTTGTTAGGCTCCAAGAAGGTGTAAAAAAGGCCTTAAACTGTGGTTCAGGGTAGAGAGAGAACTTATTTGGAGATCCATAAACATCTTAACTCCCTCTGCACTTCTGTTCCTTATGTTCCAGATTCCCCTGGTGGTATTAGAGGGGATTCTCTTTGTCTTTTAAATCCCTTGGCCATTTTCACCTGACTAATTTTGTCTTTAAGTATTGAGCTTTCCAGCAGATTCTCATCTGTCAGGGCTACAATGACAATAAAGCACAGAGAATTTAGGCTGTCTGGATTTTTGGTTTTGACAGTTTGGACAAAATAATTCATTTCTATGAATGTAAGCAAAGAATGAAAACAAACCAAACAAAAACCAACAACAGCAAAGAAAATACAACAAATAAGCTAAACCGTGACAGAGATATAAACTGTCTTAACTGTAGAAGAGGACAAGCTTGACCAGCAGTAAATGCAGAGCAATAAGCATTAATTATGACTGTTGAAAACTATATTGTATTAAATCTATCAGGACAACAGTAGACTTGATCACTGTGTAACCAAGCATGGTGATACCTGAGACACTAAAGGTAAATAAGAGAACAGTTTGATGTATGACGTTGTGCTAACTCACTTATAGATTTGTAAGGACAGATATTTACCTCCTTCTTTGTCCTGACTGTTTGAATATCCAAATGGCCATGCTTGGAATAAAAAGTGGAGGAGAAGGTTAAAATACTAACCAGTGTTTGTGGCCGACCATAGCTTTCCCTGAGTAATCACTGCCTTAAAAGAGACTATTTGTGGTTTGTTAGAAAAGGCTCTTTTGGACCAGAGTGTTCTCAGACAGCAGACCTCACATGTTTCTTTGTGTGGAGGTGTTGCTACTCTGATAAACTGAGCTCTAAATGATGGTGTTATTGATTGAGTAGCTGAACTGCAGTTCATTGTACTGGGAGCACAGCCAGAGAGAATGTAGAAGTCAGTCTAAACTTATGTAACATAAGCATCCTCCTACCATAAAAGCTTGCAATCTGGAAAATAGCAACAAGAAATAATGAAGGAAGTTCGCTTTCTGTCACTTCCGTGATATTAATGTATTGGAGAGGTTTCTCTCTGACACTAGTTTTGTTAGATCATCTGTATTAATGGCAAAACCCTCACCATTGAGAACCCATTGTTGTATGGGACAGGGGACCCGGTGACTGGAAACACTTAAGTTTCATTTAGTCATAGGACAACTTTCTGTCCATTTTCAACTATTGCAAGCTTGAAATTTAAAGCTATGTTACAAGGAGGGATTTGAGTTTAAAAAATTGATAATAAAATAAATCCCTCCCCACTAGGAGATAAACTAGATGAAAAACTAAGGTGGAAAAATGTGACTAACAATAGCAAAGGTTGATATCACTGACTGTTCAGAGATGGAAAAGGATGAAGTCTTCACTTTTTTTTTTTTTTTTTTTTTTCCTCAGTCTTTTCAGGTAAAATGTAGCTTCAGGAATCCCATTTCTGAGATCTGCCAGAAAGTCTGGAGCAATGAACGCTTATTCTCAGTGAATGGGATCAGGTTAAATAAACTGACATACACAAGTCAATGGGAGTTGATAGGATGCAGCCATGTGTATAACTGCTTGGTGGAGAGAGTGAAGTAGATGGAGCCAGACTCTGCTTGTTGTTATCTTTTGATGAGACAAGTGACAACGACCCAAAGTGAAATGCAGGAAATCCCATTTAAGAACAGGAATGGATTTGCTTCCTGTGAGAGGGATCATATACTGGTAAAAAGTTACTCAGAGAGATTGCTGGAGATACTCAAAACTCAACTAGACACAGTCCTGAGCAGCCTGCTCTGACTGGCCCAGATGTCAGCAAAAGGAGTGGATAAGATGCATTCGAGAGGTGCTTTTCCAACCTCAACCTTTCTGAGACTCTTTGGCTTTAGAGAAGTTGAAAGTACATAGCAAATTTTATTGTGGGGAGGTATAGGAAAAAGTAAAAAGGATAAAAAAGTGAATCCATTCCAAAAAAACATATAACAAATAGGGAAGTGGGTTTGTTACACCCATCTTCATGCTGTAAGAAAATCACTATGTCATTTGATGGTAATTTATTTTTGTACAATAACTGGCTAATAACTTTTTGGAAAATGTTAGGGAAATGTTGTATTTGTCTATTTTCCTAGTAATGCTTTCAGACTGAGACATTATTTGCTAAATATTAGTTGGTCATAATATATCTCAACATTCATCATTTTTCACTTATTTTTCTCTTTACAGATTCATCTATAAAAAGATCAGTGCACAGATCATTGTAAATTCCAGCCTCAGCTTAGCTTATCTGCTTGCAATCATGGTTTTGTTAAGTAGCTGAACAGCAAGATATCCCAGGGCAGAATTTTATCTGTGAATGCATTCTTACCCAGGATTACTGTCATACTTTTCCTTTCTCTATCTGCTAGGTGAATGATGATGTTGGGATTGACTGGACTAACGAGAATGACCGCTTACTGGTTTGCCAAATGTGTATCAAACTGGCTGACATAAATGGTCCTGCAAAATGCAAAGACTTGCATCTACAGTGGACAGAGGGCATTGTCAATGAGTTTTATGAACAGGTAAATAAATGCATGTCCAAGATAATATCTTCTGGTTGCATGTTGTGTGCTAAACAGTCCTGCAGTATGCTAGTGATGGTGCTTAATGAAACCGCAGAGAACAGGTCTGATGAAATTGCCTAGAGTTCAACTGGCTAACCCTTTTTCTGGACCAGTGACTTTCAGTGCCATTTGGCACTGAAGCTTCTGATGTGTCCGCAAAGTATAACATTTTGGTGAAGATTGTTATAAAAGTCAATAAAACAAAAACAACACATTGAAGTGAGATATCTTTTGTCTGTGCTTCAAAATTAAACTTTCATTTGTTGACCTTTCAAGATACCAACAAGTTTTTGACCAGGTAACATTGTCTGTCTTTGGCTTTTGGAATATTGAGTTGCCAGGAGGTAAACTCAGGCAATACATACCTTCGTGAAAACTGAAACTGTCTGTCCAGATTCTAATCTATGCTCTCAAATATAGATACCTGTATTGCATTAATGCATTAATTTGCATAACAAGATTGATTAAGGGGATTTTTTTTAACTGAGATTACTTTTAATCTTGACATTTCTGCTCAGCTGAACACTCGCTGAGATTACCAGAGGCATTTATGTTATAGGGGTGACTTGCAGACTTTGTACTGCAAGAAAGTTCAGTTTTCTTTTCTGTCATAGGAGGATGGAGATAAAAGTCTTCCTATACCTACCCTCCCCTGTGCCCTCTCTTCCCAGGAAAAGCTAGCAAAAAGCTTTCTGGGAAAGATTTACTGCTTCTGAGTAATGCCTGCTTTGATGGAGGTCATTCTAGTATTCCCAGGAAACAATTATGAGCAAAAACCAAAAGGAATTATTTGTTTAAAGATATGTGCAATAAAGACAAAATCCACAAGAAAACTAGGTCAGTGAGGTGGCTGGGGCTTGTAGCCCCAGGTAGATTGTTCAGTCTTGTCCCCTGCAAACAGATGACTGACTACGAGGAGAATGAGCTAACAATCAAAATTAGAAAACATTCCAGAAAATAATGTGAAGAAAGACAGTAAACATTGGTTTTCCAACTTTCACGCTTAGTGTAAAGTGCAGGTCAGTAGTAGTGGACATTGTTTTGTGTAGTTATCAACTAACATTCTTGTTAAATTCAAGCTGTTGGTAGTGAGTCCTCTTGCAAGAGTAGAGCTGTAATTCAATTAAGCATTTGATGTAATGGTACTGTCATAATGTCAGGCTGGCATGCTATGGAAGTGGCATTCCAGTAGGACTATTTTTCTTTCATCATTTTTAATTGGCTTGGTGTGCAGCGCTCCTTTTTGTGTCACGTTTTTTCTTCCATTCACTTCAGAGAAATTACCGCTATTTTTCATCTCCAGGGTGATGAAGAGGCCAGCCTGGGCCTGCCTATCAGCCCTTTCATGGATCGCTCTGCTCCTCAGCTGGCACACCTCCAGGAATCCTTCATCACTCACATTGTGGGACCACTATGTAACTCCTATGACTCTGCAGGGTTGATGCCAGGAAAATGGATAGAAGATAGTGATGAATCAGGAGACACCGATGAGCATGAAGAGGAAGAAACAGCAGAAATGGAAACTTGTGAAAATGCTGAATCCAGTAAGTTGCTCACACTTTTTCTTTTCTTTTTTTTTTTTTCCAACAGAAGTTCCATACAGTGATCAAAAACTAAACAATCAAATTGTAGAAGCACAGATCAGGTTCAAGGTGAACCTCTCCAAAGTTAGAGAGATTCAGTGCTGTCCTTGCTGAAATCATCACAAAATCAGTCACATTGGCACTCCCTCCCCTATATCTCATTTCATGTCTAGAAAACATCAGCCTTCATTGCCCTGTTGCAACACCGATATGCAGCCTTTTCTCTAACAATCTCACGTTTTCTCTTCTTCGCTACACCCTTCCCTGGCCTACTGAATCTCATCTCCATTTTCTGTTGGGAAAGCTGAGAAGTGAAAAAAAATTGGTAGTTGCTATAAGCCATATTAGGACCAAAAATTAAAATATTGGTCTCCTGATGTGACCTTTGTTCTCTAGTAAGATTCAGATGTTGTTCTTGTTAATACACACACACACGTGCGCATATATTTTAAGTTTAGCAGGATAGTGTGCACAAAAATGAACAGCAAGTATTAAATAAGCATGCACTGGTTTATTTTAATGCCTTGTGATCTATCAGATCTTCAGGATCATCTCGGTAATAGAAGACAGAACTACACATTTCTATGGCAGATTCAGGCTTATGGAATTGATTATTGGGGGAAAGCTGTGAGATTGATAACCAACAGAGACCCCAAAGCACTGGAACTAATGTTACCATATTAAAAAGGAAGACTGAGGATGTTCTCCTCACTTATCCATTCAAAGGTCTCGCCTTACTTTTAAATCCTTAGTCACCATTTGCCTCATTGCTGTATTCTCTTTCATATGTCTACAAGTTAAATAATGCTGCTTTTAAGTTAAAAGCACAGAACATTAACACTTATCACTTTGAAAATAGGCCATTTTTTAGTCATCTTCTGTTTTCTTTTCCATGTTCTACCCTGTGATAATATCTATTATTCATGCTGTTGTTTTTAGGCTCTGTATCTTTTTCAAAACCCCAAAAATAAATATATAAAATAAATATAAATTATTATATTTAATTAAAAATTTAATAATTTATATAAATATAAATTATTATACTATAAATATAAAAGGTTTGAAATATCCAAACAAATTCTTCCTCCTTCTTTCTTACTGAATGTGATCATACATACATGTTAAAATCTGCTTTCCTCTCATTCCCTGCATTTTCTGTGACTGCATGGATGTTAATTACATATCTGCAGTATCTTTTGTGTGAGTACAGTTACTGGAAATTTTTTCCCATGATCAACACAGTTTTGGATGTTATAAATTTTTCTCTGTGAAACAAAATAAAAGGATGAGATGTAAGTTGCATAGATATTAAGCGTTGTGTTGTGTTAAGCATCTTCTTCTTGATGCAGGTGTCATTTAGGCAGATGGAAATACAGTTTTTGCGTAGGTCCTGATAATTCCCTGAAGAAGTTCAGTTAAATTTAGAGTTATAAAACTTAAGGTAGGGGTTATTTTAAAATGGCTTTTACAACTATACACGAACATGTAATTTTCCCAAATTTTTATTGCAAAGATGCAAATTAAAAAGACTCATTCTTTGGTTATTCAGGCAAATTTTAGCACCACACGCAAGTTCTCACAATCTCTGAGGGAGCAGCAAGATGCATGCGGGGTCACCCGGGAAACGAAGGAGAGAATGTCCTGCTGTGGCATTGGCAGAGCAGGGGCTTCTTATTAGTGCTAAACCTGAAGGTTTCCTACAGGGAACCAAGGGCTTTCTAATGAAGGATTGAGTTGGATTTGGTCTGTGCTCAGTGAAAAGCTCTTTGTTTCCAGTTCAAAAGCTTCAAGGGCTAAACGTTTTGGACCCTGACACAGGCATACTTCAGGCAACCTGCAAGTACTAATCCACGCAAATTTATTTGGTACAAAACATTCCTCTACGTCACTTTCTTTAAAAAAAGAAATCAGCAGTTGTCTTTGGAGAGGTTATTATTTCAGTTCTATGACCACCCTTGCCAATGTTAATGATCAGGAAAACTTTTCAAGCTTTGTAGTTTGAGCTAAGAATCTTCTCTTTCATTTTTGAGGTGTGTTGTGTTGGACAATCTATAGAGACACTGAAAAAAAAGACACTTCTTTTTGTGGTGGGGTACATTGTGTTGGGCAGGCTATGAAAACACTTCAGACAGCAGAACATTTGTGGTGCAGTTGTGTCAGGGTTCTTGAGAACTAACTGTGGCAAAAGCATTCTGTAGATTAACAAGAGGAGACTGTTTCAAAACCAGTGATAAGTAAGCTCCTTACTAGTATTTTGCTGTATGACCACTTCATCAGTGGTCAAACTTTGCCACTGGAGCAGTGTTGTGCAAAAGCTTTAAGGTAATCTCTACTGCAGTGATGCTGCAGTAAATCTCTTTTGTCTTTGAAAAGACAACACAGGAACATGTTCCATCCAATTGATTACTAATGCTCAGGCACTAGATGTCTCTGTGAGCTGAATGCTCAGGGATGGCATGCAGACTACGGCAGGAGAAGGCTGGGGTTCAGTCAGTGTGGGAAATCAGCATTCTTTGCCAGAGGTCTGGGGAGACATAGGTGTCTGAGTTTTTAGGAGTGTTTGACAGTTTTACAAATCTATTAGTCCCTGTTTGTCATCATGCACCGTCTACTTCCTACACCTTCAATCCATTCTTCTTCCCTCACAGAAATCAGTACACTAATATCACATGGTATTTTACAGGAAAGAAGAAGTTCAAGAGAAGGAAAATCTACTGTCAGATCACTCAGCACCTGCTTCAGAACCATAAAATGTGGAAGAAAGTAATTGAGGATGAGGAGAGGTTAGCTGGGACAGAGAAGCAAGGCGCGGAGCAATCCACACTGCACCCATCTTCAGAACAAATTCAGGCCATCAGGGAAGAGGAGGAAGAGAAGGGGAAGCCCAAGAGAGATGAAGAAGAAAACACAACTGTAGAACCGAACCAATGACAATATTTACAGCAGTATTTTAAGACAGATTGACTCGTGCACAGACTCTTTCTCAAGCCAGCACAGCATTTAGACACCACACTGTAGAAGTATGGGATTATGCGCCTACAGCTGTTCAATTTGTTTCTCTTTCCTTTTTATGGTGAGGTACATTGTTTAAACTCCTGTGCTCAAGGAAGCTTTCACACTGCTACACCGGCTTTTACAGACTTTCTTTAAAGAGATTTGGGGTGGGGGTGGGGAGTGGATTTATATAAATATATATATATATATATATATATAGCCAGTGTTTTTGGCTGTGCACTTCAGCAAAATACATTTAATGATATATTATGGTCACTGTGATATTTACAGAAGGAAGTTTTCTAAAGAAATGCTGTTTCTGAAGTACATTTGCAGTTAACAGCGAGGTAAAGTAGCTTTTGCTCTTAATACTGAGGGATAAAAGTTCCAAAGCTTTACATGTATCCTGCCAACATATACATGTATGAGGGGAGTGCTCATGTATGTGGGTGGATATAATGTCATATAGCAGAGTTTGAGACTAGCTGTAGCACATCTGAATACACGACAATGAACAGGAGGCCTAAATTTTAAGAATCTGTGCCCATGAGGAGCCCTTTGTGAGAAGCTCTGCATTCCCATCCTCCTCTGAGGACTGGGCTGCATGCTGGCTGTGTGACTTCAGCTCATCTTCCTTCTCCTTCTCCTCTTCCAGCACCTCCCAAACTGCTAGCAAAGGGATGTGCCAGGGCACTTAATCCAGAAGGGTTACTAGGGATTGTGCAGCACGCTGCCTGTGAAAGGCCCCGACCCTCTGTCCGCCTCTGAGTGCAAGAATGGCATATATGTTTGAGCAGGAAGCAGAAAAGAGCAAACGTGTGTGCATATGCAGAAACTAGAGGCAACACTGCCATCTTTCCACCCAGACCTTATGCCTCCACACATCAGTGGCCAAATATACCATATAAGAGTGAAGCTAAGCACCATCTCTTGAGAGCAAAGGAAGGGGAGCGTGGAGATCATGCACCTTCACAGAATAAAATGTAAACAATGCATTAGGAGAAGGGTTGGAGAATGGTGCCAGTCCTGTGGACTTGTCTCAGCAACCACTCACAGGACCTTTGGAGAGCTTGGATTTCAGTGCAAGGTGCTGGCTGGGAGCAGTTTGTTGCTGGTGTTCTGCCTAGAAGCAGCGTGTTTGATCCCACCAGTATACTTAATGGTTTTTTTCTTTTTACTTTTCAAGTGAGAGGATAAGATCAGTCCTGTAGAAGAGCAGATCTTTTTGTTTTGTTCTGTTTGTTTTTTCTCTGTTGTTTATGCTGTGAGCCAAATGTCTATTTAAAAGGTTGAATATTCACTTTCAATATTTTATTTCACGATATTGTATTTGTCAATGATTAGCTATCTAGATGTAAATATGGAAAAATTTTTATGGGTTCCTGTAGATAATGATATCTTTAAGAAAAGAAAAAAAAAAGAAAAAAAGGGAAAAGTGTTTTTGTTTTTGTTTTTGTTTTGTAAAGCTAATTTTTTAAAAATAAATACAAAGGCATTTTTATATAGTGTAGCCATTTTCAAACCCAACAAAAAGGTCTTAATATGTACAGACCCTTCTGGGAAGCCACTGGTCTGCAGGGTCATGGCTTTTATGTGTTAATGCTCTTTGGGACTGGCAACACCATCCAGTACCACAACATTTAGAGCATTTTGTTTTGTTTTGTTTTTTTTCCCCACAAGAAAAGAGAGAGAGAGAGAGAGGGGGAGAGAGAGAGAGAGAGAGAGACTAAACTTTATATATGTACATATATAAAGCTCAGTATCTCTCAAAAATGATTAGACTATGTATTCTCTTTTATCCTAATCCTGTAGCCCCTTGCCAAGAAGAGGATTGCTTGTGGGAGTAAGAAGGCTTGTGAAAGGAAGAGTTTGTAGGAGAAGTCCTTTCTGTGTTAAATAGCTGACACTGCATCCATCACTTTTTGCCATTGTTATGCATTCACTGTACTTCATGGTCCTACTGATACCTTCCCCAAAACATTCTCTGCCAAAGCCAAAGTATGTTGTCACTTCAGAGAATCTCTCTGCTTTGCATTTCTGATAGAGTGAGATTTGCTGGAAGAGAGGAGTTTGGTTTCTCACCAGTAGAGATGTTTGCATTTGGACAGAATGACTCTAGAGCGTGGCCCTGGATGTTCTAATCAGCAAAAAGATTTAGACAGTGGTTTTCAATGAAATCCAAAAAAAAAAAGTTCAAACTGAACTATTATTTTAAATTGAAAGGATAGAATTCATTCAAAAGAAAGAGACATCTCACGTATGCTCCAAGATGCCAGCAAATCTCTCCCAGTTCCAGCTTCCACCATTTCACAGTGCAGTTTTATTAACTCAGGTCTTTTACAGTGAAGGATTGCTGACAGGCCTAAAATCAGATGATCTTTGATTTTATCCCAACTGGAAGCAGTGCCTGCAAGGAATCAGAAGTAGCTGGGGCTGGTTAACTCAGTAAGAGGTAACATTTTTTTGCACTCCATATAGTTACTGGTAGAATCCAATTTCTGCAGTGTTCATTCCTTATCAGTCTGCATTTCTGGCAGGAAAAGATCAGGGAATTCCCAAGGTTGATTTACATAGAACACAAAGAAATGCCAGAGAGATTTTGTATCAAATGTGTGAATACAGTTTTTTACTTTTTTTTTTTTTTTTTAGTAGCTAGTGAAGCAGGTTATTTTTCAGTGGTTGGAGTTCTTGGGTTTTTTGATGTACTAGTTTCTAGCCCAAAGGAGGCAAAATTTTTGAGCTGCAGTTGCAGCAATGTTTCTGAGGCTAGACCTTGATGGTTTCCCACTTTGTGCAGTCCTTTGATAGCGCAAACCCCAAATAAACCACAACCTGTGCATTATTTTCGGAAAAGAAAATTGTATTCTTTCATCAAAGCTTTCAGATCTCAGGTAGGCTATTTTAAATGTTAATATGAGCTTCTGTAATGTATGTTTTGCAAAGAGGTTGGTTAAATGCTAGAGAAAGCCCTGTCTGGTTTTTGCAGGTTAAAAAATAACGTGAGCCATACATGAGAAATAAGTTGTGGGAATTTACTATGACAAAACAATTCTCCAGTCTCCCTGGAGCATTTTGATTTTGCTTATTCTGTGAACAAAGTCCTTTACAGAAAGCTGGAGAATTGGTGTGCGTCACCAATGCCTGCAAACTCGTGCTGGCTCTCAGAGTAAATGCCTGCCACGTTCAGGGTGTGGGTGGTTCCCAGGCAGTTGGGATCACAGAGTGCATTTTTCACCAATGCAGGTATAGTTAATCATCAGTTTTTACCTTGATATCATGTGTGAGCATCTCTACAACATCAAGTTATAATCCCAGATCACAGTAGAATTTGCTCAGAACCTTCTGACTGGTGGTTTGGGGGCTTATACTCTTAATGTTCTACTGTCAGAAGTTCTGAACATTCTGAATGTCTGAATGAGGAAGGAAGAGAAGTCTATAATGTTTCAGATAGGTACTACTAAAAGTATCATCTGAGATCTAATCAAATTCCATTCCCAAATCCTTTTTCATGCTTTCCCTTTTGGACTTTAAGATCATTTGCTTTCTTTAGAAAGTTCTCCTTAAGTCCTGTCTGCCATTTTAGAAACAGACTGGCCTTCCCTCCCTCCCTCCCTCCCTCCCTTACATCCATCCATCCATCCATCCATCCATCCATCCATCCATCCATCCATCCAGAGCCATGAACTGAGTAGGTGTGGGGTGGCTATCAATTTTCAAAATGAACCTGGTTATAAATGAGCCACTTGGCTGTGACCCAGAGAAAGCATCAGGTGCTTGTTCAGCCATCGCCCCAGTGGGATGCACCCAATGGTCCACGTGTGGGAGAAGCAGTACAGGTGTGCTCCAGCTCATGCTGGAGAGGAACCATGTAAGAGAAATAGTGCTCAGTAGGTTGGGATGGCAGCAATGAGTTTGTGGGTTTTCTTTCTCAGAAAGCAAAGGCTTTTGCCTGCTGGAAAATCTATGATTCATAAAAGATATACAGTTTCAATTGCTTTTTCGAGTACTGTTATGGTTGAGATGTTCCTGTATCACTGTTTGAAGCAGAAAAGGTTCAATATAAGCATGAGCAAGATAGTCTCAAGCATCCCTCTGCCATATGGGCAGATAAAATCAGCTGCCTGCATCTCCTATCTGCTGCAGCTGACAGGCAGTGCAAGGCTCAGACCTGGATATGGTTGGAGGTTATGGGTGTTCCTCAGCTCGGCAGTGCTGTAATTAGTCCTTGAGTTGTGACAAACAGGGAGAGAGGCAGAGTGGCTGTTCGTGGGAAAGAGAAAAAAGAAATATAATACAGTATGAAACAAACTTTGTGCAACACGCTAACTTTTCTTTCAAAATCAAATGCAGCCCCATTGGAGTGAAGTAAGTCTAGGTTTTCTGGGTTTTTAATCAGTTTGATGTTGCAGTGTTACTCAAAATGGTGGCAGCATTAAAGGGAACTGTTTCCAGCAATTAGGGCGGATGAATCTTTTTTTTAATTTTTTTTTAAGTAGCTCAACAAATAAACCATCCTTTGACATCTGAATGGCTTTTATTTATTTTAGTATTTTCTAATGTTAGTGGAGATAAAGCCTGGAAATTTGAAAGGAAGGAGGAAATGCATCTTTGACGCGTTCTCATTTTCCAGGCCTCCTGAGCGAACTGCACCAGTTTATGTGTTACTGAATGTATGGGGAATAATTGAAATCAAGCTGACAGCTATCTTAAACAGTCACCAGCAGGAAGAGTTAGCAAAAATATGGATTATTGAAGGCAAACCTTGAATTAGAGCAAAACAGCACCAGTGCATTTGAGAACAAATGAATATGATAAATCTTTCTTTGAATTTCATCGCTTTCATTCAGCAAAACAACATTCCTCTGGAGGTAAATCAAACCAGGGCTTTAGCCCATGCTGTGGTGGTTATTGAATCCCAGCATCAGAGGCAGCAGTGTGAGAGTTACTCTCCATTTACTTCCCAATTATGATTTATTCAGAGGCTTTTAGTGTGATTTGCCTGGCAGGCAGGTGATTTTTGATGAAAAACACATCACGCCTCCTCAGCAGGGTGCAGATGTCAGCCCCGTGCAGCCCTGCCTGAAGCCTTGGGGCTATGGGAGCCCCTCGGAGCCAGCAGGCAGCAGTGCTGGCACAACTCTGGAGAACCCTTTCCCACAGTGACAACAGAGCAAAAGCTTGAGCCAGTTCACAGTACTTCTTTGATAAATCTGAAGCAACAGTAAGCACAGTGCAGCTTGAAAGCCTGCCAGCAGCACGTGAGATGTGTGCAACAAGTCCTGAGTGCATGCACATGTGAAAGGATCCTTTCATCAAGGTGATGGGGTTGGGTGTAACCAGTGGGCTGTGTTGACAGACTGTTGAGCTGAAGTATGAAGTAAGCCAAGGAGGGTTTTAGTTTTTCAGAGTTCTGTCATCTAAAAAAAAACTTTTCTTGGTGCTAGGGGAGGAAAACAATTATAGCATTTATTTCAATTGAGATTTTCAGGTGGCTAGAGTGTGCAAGTCCAGTACATCAACTGGACAAGAGGTGAGATGGCTAGTTATGATGGCGTGTGAGATCTGGGTGCTGAGGAGCACATTGGAATTTGCAGGCATGGGAAGTGCTGTTCCCAGCAGTGAACTGGATGGGAAAGTGCAAGCAGTTCTGCTTTCCAGCTGTGTGGGAGCACAGAGCAAAGAAGAAAGACTTTGTCACAGCCATGAGCTGTGTATCCTTTATGCCTGAAATCTCCAGTGCTGGTTGAAGAGCTACAGAAATCAGCTCGAACAAGCAAGGGGCAGCACGAGTCATGCCAGCAAGGCAGGTGTGAGGCTGCCATCGCATCCTCTCTCTCATGGAGGCTGAGCAGCACGGTATGAAGCATGGGGAAGAGCAAATGTTGGGTGTCATCTGTCAGAGCAGCTAGAGAAATGCCTGCAGTAATGCAATCCCATCCCTTGCCCACCTGGCTGTGGCTGGCTCAGCACTGTGGGTTTAGAAGCTTTGCTTTCCAACTGTCTTTCTTCACCACAGCAAATACTTAGAAAGAGACTATGCTCATTGCTTTAAGATATTTATTTAAAAGAGATTTGGTTGTTTTGTTTTGTTTTTTTTCCATTGACCCCAATAATTTTGCCCCCGTGCTTTTATACAGAAAAAAAAATAGTTCTGTGACATGAATAGAGAGAAAACAGCTAGGGATCACCATGCCTGTCCATACTTCTCTACATAGAAGCCTGTTGTCTGTTGAAGCTGCCTTTCCTTTCTGAACTTCCCTCCTGATTCTGACATGCAATGAAAAGCTGTATTTGAACGCAAGGTTTTCATTTTAGGTATTTATAAACCCGAGTACAGTACTGCAGATGGTATCTAAAAGATCAAAGGCGGCATTTAGAGCTGCTCTGTGGCACTGATGGTGTTTTTAATATTTCAGCCATGTCAGCGTACGTTTGGTCGTTACTCTTCTGACGTTAAATGCTCTTTTCTTGAGTAATCGATGTAAGATGTCTGCACGACAGAAAGTAATTTAAGTTCACTTTTTTAAAAGATGTGATTCGTGCTGTAGGCTACGTTTGTTCAACAGATAACACTTTCACGGGGGGGGTGGCAGCTTATTTTTTGTTAATGCTTTCAATAGAACATCAAGGGCGTTTTCCACCAGAATCACATTCTGAAACCTTTGCCTCGGCAACTCCAGCAGGAGTGGGACCTTTCAAAAATAACAGCTTTCCAACACAATTTTGCCATCTGGGTAAAAACTGCAAGTGTGTACATCACATACAAGCTATACTTCCAAAAAAAAAAAAAAGAAAGAAAGAAAGAAAGAGAGAGAGAAAGAAAAGAAATCAAAGTAATTAAGAAATGAGTTCATCAAGGTCAAGACACTTTCTGAAAGAAAATGTGAAGTGTGTGGATGTGTATGAAGTACTCAGTGGCCCACTAAACATTGGGGCCAGTCATTCAGGTCTTGTATTTCCGAATTCCTCAGAGGCGTATCAGGGCCTTTGAGTTGAGAAAGCCCCAAGGGATTTGGCCCTCTCCTGTCCCAACCCACAGGCTTTGGCTCCTGCACTGCTGCTCTGGGTGCCGGGGCTCAGGCGGGCTTTGTGATGCTCGCTCAGATCCAGCATAGTTCCAAATGAATCCTTCCCAGAATCGTTCGCTTCGGAAGGTGAGAGAAAGGGGGGAAATATATCTATTTACGTGTACAGCTTTGATATACGGCTGTATTTGAGAAGGCTTTGGGTATCTTTGTAATTCCTTTGCAGCAATATTTTGAAAAAGAACTGCCAACCAAAGTGGCAATGCGGAGAAGTGCCATCTTGTTCAGGATTTGTACACGCCAGTTTTTAACACAGTGTTCCTTTCACTAAGTACTGCATACGTTAATTTATATTTATATCTTGTCAATATTGTTGTAACCGAGCTTCTCCTTTTTAAACACTTCAGGAACAAGGCCTTGTATTTTTAGGTGATTTTCATAAATGGAATAATTCTTTTCCTTTCACTAGTATCTTGCACTCAATACATGTAGCAATACTTAATATATTCTCTTCACAAGTATTTGTTAAGTGATTTAGTTAATGGCTGATCAATGTTTTGTACAAAATAGATTCTGTACAGGAAAAAAAATCTTTTAGATAAACATTATTTATTTTTACTGTTTTGTAAGTTAGACACTATAATGAAGCTCCTTTTTGCCAGAATTACTGGAAGTGCCTCTTGGTAAAATGTATTATACAGTAAATATGTATTCAAAATTATTAGAAATACTTGTCACAAAATGAACAATGTGGATGTTGCAATGTGAAGACAAATGTACAACATAAATATAATTCTGTGGTATCCTGTTTGCTGTGTTTCTTCTTCCTTTATTGAACATACTCACTCTCAGTGCTCAGCTTTTTGCTGGCAGGCCCGGCAGGGGTGACCCATCACCTCTCCAGACTCTCACCCACTCAGGCTGTGGGAGGACTTGAGCATGGTTTGAAACAGGCCCCACCAGCTGGCCAGCACCTGCTTGGAAATGCAGCCACTGTGTGACCTGCCAATGTGGAAGAGGTATTTTACCCTTTCTCCATCTCATTTTTTTCTCCAGTTTGGGTATGGCAAGGCTATGCGGGTGCACAGGTATCATACAGTGCTTCTTCTGAAGTGTTTGTCTGTATGATAAAGCAGGTATATGTTTAATCACCATTTAACCTGCCAGCTTTCTTTCATGTGTGTTTGTGCCCCATGCTCACGTTCACTGATACCTGATTATCTGTAGCTTCACTAGCAGAATTTTGTGCTATATTTCACTACTATTACATGTTAACTGCTGTGTGACTCAACTAATCTGTGGAAGGCCTCATTAAAAACATCCTTCTTTGATGAAGACCAGTATTTCAAATCTGTCATCTGTCTGCTTTTCAATCCAACATGGACCTTATTGATTGACAATTTGTCAATTGTATTGACAAATATAATGTAATTATTCAGTGAAAGATTTTGGTAGTCCATGGCACATACCACTATTGATATCTAGCTGGTTTCTTGGATCACTGTTTATACTTTTCAAAATATCCTATCTTACAGCTATCTAAAACTTTTCCTATTTTTTGTCTTAAGTTTTATCACCTACTTTCATCAAAGATCTGCAGAGCTTTTTAGCCAAGTTGTCTGAAATGGCTGTGTACAGATTTTCTGGATCAGCTATGTAGTCAAAGCCTCTTTTCCTATAACTTAAAAATTCCAATTTTCAAAATATGGAAAAAACATCAGCCACAAACCTGGCTGCCAGTTTTTAAGTCCCACCAGCTTATTTGTCCTCTGGCTTAAATTTGGAATAGCAAAATGTAAGGTAATGTGCATCAGGCAATGATTAGGAAGGTATTAGTTGGGAACGGTCCTGATATGAAAGAAAAATACAGTTATCTGTATTTTAACTGAAGTGCTCGTAAGGCTGCAGCTGGTCTGTCTCAGGCATTTAATAACTTCATGGTATGGAATTATTTAATCCAGAGATTCACAGCTGCTGACCAAAAAGCACACTGCTGGAGTGACAGAGAAAAGCTCTTTTCATTCAGTGCTTCTCATCACAAAGACAGCCCTACCAAGGTAAGAATGCACTTGTCTTTAGAAATCACAGAACTCTCTCTGGAGCTCTTCAAACAGCAAGAGGTTCCCATGGGAAGGGATGAGCAACAAAACACAAAGCAGAAGCAGTCAATCTGCTAATGAGACCACACATGAGCATGGCTCTCCCACTGCTCTGATAAAACATAAAGGAGACTGTGACACACAGTCAGTAGAAGCTCAATTAAATGCTGCGTTTTCCAGGTGTTCAAATTACTCTCAATTGCTCAAGCAAATCCACTTTTCTAAAACCCACTTAAAGTGTTTCACTAAAAATAGAAAGCTCGGGGAACTGCTGGCACTCTGCTTAACAGTGCTTTCTTTATTTTTTTCCTCCCTTCAAATCTCTCACCCAAATCCTGTGGCAATAGGCATTATCCCTCGTGCCACCCTGGGCTCTCTGGATTTCGTCTGACTCTTCGTAAAGAGAGAGGTACAGCAGCAAAGGACACTAATAGTCAGCTGCCCAACTTCTGGGTGCTGCCATGGCTGATGGAGTGAGTAGCTCTGGGACAGCCATTTCACACCATCTCAAGGAAGATTTTAAACACTCTGCACTGGGATCTCAAAAAGAGGCACGTTCAGGAAAAAAAAACATTAAAGTCAGCTGCTTTGTTGGTCAACTTCACAGTCAGAAGCTGGTACCAAAACTGCCTTTGTTCATGAGCCACGAGAGAAAACATGCAAGTTTAAAGTTGCACCTAAGGCTTTGATGATTTGTGTTGCACTCAGGCCAGCCTGCTGGTTGTCATCACCAAATAACACAGGACAGACACAGCTGTAGTGATTTGGAAGTCTGACGCGGATAAAAGGTTGCTGCAACATCTGCTTATCCGCAGCCAGAAAGAACAAAGTCCTGTTTGATCTGCATGATGACTTCACTTACAATGATTTCTGTTGTTGTTGCTGGTAAATTACTTCCCTTCACAAGGTTTTGCACATGGCAGTTGTTTATTATTGTGCTTGCCAAAGGCACTGAATTCAACAAACTCAACACCTTCAGTGTAATAAACTCTTCTGTTAAATTCTTTACACTTTTTCTTCCCACATTTTTAGCCCAAATCTTTGTGTTTAAATCTAGTTCAAAGAACTTGCATAACAGAAAGTGCTCTCGGATTTTATTAAGATTGATGGTGTTAATCTTTAGTGGTTGGCCAAATTCCAGTTTCTCTTATTCTGTTCTTCTAAACTAAAATTCTTCCCAGAGCTCCAGTGGGTAAAAATGCTTCCTGCCTTGACAGCTGTGCCATGTTGCTGGATCTTTCCTTCAGTCTGTGTCAGAGCTGGTATCTTTGCAAAACTTGGTTCTACATAGGTATATATAATAATTGATAACGCTTCATTTTACTCATCATTCAAGAAGGACAACCTCCTACCTCTTTCACCTGATCTTTTACAAGATTACCTTCTGCAGCTGTTTTCAAGATAATCCAGAGCCATTGAGCATACACTTCTGTATGTTATCCTAGGCACCAAAAACAGAGAGCATATGTGGTAAAGGGGGTATCATTCCATGGTAAGGCTGCTATTGCTTCTAACAACCAATGTGTGTTATTTGTCTCTAGTTCTCTAATGTGAAAGGGACTTGTAAGGTTTCTTCTGAGAGTGGTTTTCCTACTCTTTTATGCACCTAACAAGAATGTTCTTTTGACTGCAATGAAAGGGAAAGTTGATACTGAGAAAAAGTGAATCCATAGCAATAGATGAGCATGGCTAAAGCAACAGAAATTATGCAGGCAGTGAAATTGTATTGCTTTATTTGTTAACTGTAAACGTCTTGGTTGTATCTGCTTGTTGCTGACTCCAGGCTGTTTTCCTAAGTATCACAGAAGGAGAAAATATTATTTAATAATGTTAAATTATACTAAAATTCAAGTACTTAGAGACATGCGTTGGAAACAAATAGCTGCTTCCAGGCTATCATCATGCTGTTACTTTTATTCTGGCAGCTGTTTTTCCAGACTCAACAATGGCAGGATGCCTTGAGCTCACTGCTCTCTGGACAAGGATTTAAGAGAGATGGATCTTTCTGAGTTTTTTTTTTTCCTGAGCTTTGTACAGGCTTCCTGCATGGCCTTCAGTAAACATGAATGATTTTAAATCCTCTCCTTCAAAAGCAGTTATTACTTTTTAGCCAGTTTTCTGGGTCTTGCCCACTGCATTTTCTCTTCAGCACTGCCCTCGCTGAAGATTTAGGAGATCACTGCAGTACGAGGACTCTGGGCCATACCTGTTTCTCCATCTGCATGAGTTGTTTCAGGCATAGCAAGGCAGCTCAGAGTCAGGGAATTTACATTTTAGCAGAAATACAATAATAACTGGCCAGTTGTCAAGCTAAGCAGTAAAGGATTTGTTCTACTGAAAGTCTGTACACAGCTTTACTTTCCAGTGAAATAGTAAGACTTGGGAATATGTTTTCTGTCAGATCATAGAAAAAAAAAAAAAGAAAATGTGGTCTATTTAAATCCTTTTATATATATATATGTTGTTTTGTTTTGTTTTCTTTAAAAAAAATCAAAACTTTCCTTCTGTCAGTAAAAACTGAAAGTTTCTTTGCAGTGTTCTTGTTTGTCTTCAGGCTGCAGTGTAAAGTTTATACTTGCAGGCAAGACCTTGTGATTTAAATGTCTATCAGAATATGTTTTAACAAAAAGCCTTACAAATTAAAAAGCTTAATGCTTCACAACACTGTTTCTTTGAGACTTTACAAGGTTAGTGTTTGTTCATGACGTGCACTGAAGAAGCAGCTCCCTGGAGCTGCACCTGAGAGACCTGCTGTTGTCAGATGATTTAAAGACTGACCCACAAACTCACTGTGTGATGGGTTTATTGATATGGCTATGAAATAACATTGCTCTTGTCCCAGCTATTCACCATTCGGCTAGACTAGGCTTTGGAATGTAATTAATTTAACCCTGTTCTTTAGAAATGAAGGTGGTCAGGCTTCTAATTTCCTGTAACTAATACAAGGTAAGAATGCAAAGAAAATGGAAACGAACCTCAAGGAACAGCCTTCAGTCTGGTCCTTTGTCCTGTATCTGCTTCCAAGGCTTTGCTTCTATTATAGAATAAGTATATATAAGTAAGCAATTTCTTTTAGGACTATGGGAAAGCAAAACCTTTCTTTAATAGACTGCCTAGAGAGCTTCCAGCCGGTTTTGTGTCACTGCACTTAGGCAGCACTCTGCTGTGGGAGGCAATGAAAAAAGAAAACAGGGTGGTCATTGCCACAGGAGGTGGCATGTCCTGCTCCATGACTAGTAGTGGTTTGTCTCCCATGCCCCAGTTCTTGTAGGTAAATTGAAGTAGGCAATCTACTGCACTGCCTTCCTATGCAATATCCACAGTATGGAAGGCCCATTAGACTGGTATATTCCTGCCTAAACAAGAGTTTCCTCTCTGTCAGATGAACTCACTGAGTTAGTTTTAGTGAGGATCTTTTGTTCATTTTTTCCAAGCATCTCCAAGTCCTCCAAGTACGGAACATAAATATGACTGTTTCTGAGGAACTGCTATAATTAGCTCGTAGTGGAATGGTGATACTCATTTGGAAGATGTAAGAAAACTTTCCATAATGGAAAATATCTCCCTCAGGATTGTTTGGGTAAAGTTCCAGTTAAGATGTTATCTATACCTATAAGGAAGTCAGAGCAAGATCTGTAATGAAATTCCAGTAAAAACATACCTGTGATAAAAAGTTGACGCTGAAGATTTACAGTGAACCAAAATCCAG